TGAAAAAGGGGCAGGGGCAGGGCGGTTTTGGGACCTCAGGCTCTGTTTTCATGCTTCGCCGGAGACGTGGCGCAGGCGCGGCCTAAGTCAGGTCCACCGTTATAAGTCCTTATACTTATAACAATGTGATGCTGATGTGCCAGAGGATGAAGTATCTCCTTGTTTGTGAAACCTATACTGAAGCACAGTTCCTTCAAATGCTTCATGGCCCTAATTTTAACAACTCTCCTTTGAAATAACAGGTAACCTTACGACTTAATTCTCATAAATTAATGACTTTATTCGCGTAAATTCACGACTTAAATCTCGAAGTCTTTAAAAGAAATTCTCAATATGGCCCTCACACTCCTTCATACAAAACATGCAATCACTGGATGAATTTTGTGGAAATGATCCGTACGGTCCTTTCCTCTTTTTGGTTGTCATTTTGTTGTTTGATGTATATAGTAACCTCTGTGTGCTCGTATGTATGTATTGTTTTGTGTCTGTGCAAGGTCGCACAATTAAAAAATAACAGCTGCGCTCTGCGGCTTTTCTTCAAGTCTGTTGTTATGCAAACCTGAGGTCGGGGACATTTGCCGATCCACCTCACCCAGAGTATTCCAGTGCACAGAGGGGCAGTGCACTCTGCTGTATGCAGACCCTGAATTGAGACACAGCCTGTATATAAAGAGTGGACGCCTCCTCACTGGGTGAAGCCACTGCAAGAACAGCACCCTCTGGTGACAGGCTGCAATATAGGTCATAAATCCCGCCTCCTCCAGCCATCCCTATGGAGTTGTTGACAATTAGGGGGTTCATGTTTTCTATGATTGACACTTGATACAGCCTATGGGTGTACAAAGATTGCGTAGCTCACCCGGGAATACGCTGTTTGAGCAGAGTGTCATCACACGGACTCTCTGCGACTCTCCCGCCGAATGCGTACAATGTTACTGTACAAGCGGTGGATCCAGGAAGTGGCAATTCCAAAAGCAATTCGACTTCAATTTTATATAATGACAGAGGGCAGAGCCAAGTTGTCTATAGTATATACAGTCTTTGGTTACAAATAATACAGAAATATGAGAACCACTAATGCCTTGAGCATGGAGAGAGTAGGACGGCTCTGACTGACCACTCTGCCATCTCCGGAAGTTCTTTAAAAAATAAAGATCTCGTCCACTCATGTAAAAACGTATTAGTCTGAATTAGTCCTCAACGTGACGAATACAAACATCGAACAAAATGACAGAGGCAGATACAGAACACAGCCATTGTGCCTATTTTGTGGAGCTGACTGCAGACCAGTGTACTGGACATATGGAAAACCTTTCAGGTGTTATGAGGCTGGTTTATGGTGCAGGACAGGACAATGAAATAAAAATCATTTGAGTGTAAAAGTCATAACAAACACTTTACAACCCAACAAAAGCGGTCATGATCTGTATTCACATCCTCACATACACACCTAAGTCATTACAACCTGTGCCAGTAAGACGGCGTGTGAGTTAATGAGGCCACTTGGTTTACTGCCTGAGCACACACTCACATCTGAACACACACACAGACACAGATACACACACACAGCTGGATGTGTAATGTGCCAGATGCCATTGACTGAACACGCTGTGGGTTGAGCAGAAAAGAAACCACCTTAGCAGAGTGGCATTCGTGTAATCGATGGCCCCGTCATGTCCAAAGCTTTATCTGAATGCAGGGTTTCCTGATGGCCCAGCAGGCGAACAAATACTGCCGTCTCAGCACAGAATATGACAAATCAATAGTAAAGAGTTAAACCACAGACCATCTGTGAACAACAGAAGTCCTGTTTGTGGTTTGATGGAATCATGTTGCAGGAAATCTGGAAATTAAAATCCTAAATATTCATCATTAACAGTCATTCTAAGATAAAAACACTGACGTTTCACTAAAATGACTGTGAGAGGCAGGGGACACCATGGACAGGTCACCAGCCAATCACAAGGCTGACTCAGGTCACTAATTAACCTCCATTGATTTAAATACGGATATGAACATGATAGGAACTCAGTTCCCAGGGTCCTGACAAAGCAAGAAAGAAAAGAAAAAAGGACCTTTGGAAAGTCTATAATCTTTGAAATTACTGGATGATGGATACTTATAATTATAATTAAATTATAGCCTAATGTAGGTGCTCATAGTTACTCCTGCTGGACAGTCAGTGGCAGGAAAAAAAAAAAAAAACATTCAATAAATCAGTGAAGTGAAAAAGGATGAGGATGATGTGGATTAGACCAAAGAGTACGAGTGAGACAGACATAGATAATGCAAAGTTTGAAAGATTTTAATGAAGTGGAAGACAAGATAGACAGAGGGTACAAAAGAGGAAACTATAACCTGAGTGAAAAGAGACAAATACAGGAAAGATGAAAGAAGTGGAAGTTTGATTGACGGGTACATCCATGATGAACAGACTGGGTCAAAATGACACACACACCACAAGCTTTATGGAGAACGACAAGCACCTCTACTGAGAGCAAACTCACCAAAAAAGGATGTTTTCTCTTTTATCCTAAATAAACTGGAGAAGAAATGTGGTCTTCTTGTTTTTATTTTCTTGCTCTATCTGAAGAAACATTTAAGTTATGAGTTTTATATTTCTTCTGTTTGTTTGTCTCTGGAATGAATCACATTTTAGCTCTTCATCTAGCTATATGCTGTTTGGGGTTGCAGGAACTTGGAGCCCAAAGGTGGGATTTAACGTGGACATGCCACCACAGGGGCTAACATAGCGATAACCAAAGTACCCTCTGGTAATTTAGACTGTTTTCACACCTATCGCTCATAAGCTTTGTTCCTATTCAAGCAAATATAACACAATTCATTGTTCCATTTTTTTCCCTGGGTTGTTTTGTGTTCACTCGCCATCTGGTCTTCGTCAATACATTGCAGCCTCATTTTCCCTGGCAGCAGAGAAAACTGTTATGAAAGTACAAGTTAAGGCTGCACGATATTGGAAAAAAATAATATTGCGATTTTTTCAACCCTGCGATATATATTGCGATATTAAAAATACAGTATTTTCACCAGATGACCTGAATAGCACTTAATGTTATGCTGCACTGCTAAAATCTTGAGGACACTTAACCTGCTCTGATCTTACCTCTTTTTGTGAATGTTAGTAGAACGGCTTCTGTCTGTCTCAGAGATATTTTTAGCTTTTATTGTGCTGGGACGTTATTGTGGCAACAGATGAACACAGAAGACGTGTTTTGGTCGACATCATCCTTCTTTTAACCGAAATAATTACAGATAACTGACTTTCCTTTTCTTTTTGGCAACAAATCTTCATTTTCGGTGGTTTTCGCTTGTTCGTTGTTCATTTTGCGATCGTTGTTGTTGTTGTTAGCGGTGTTGTGCTGAGAAACGCATGTCCTCCGAGAATTGCATGCACCTCGCAAAACGCGCACTGCTTATAGTAGAGTGGTCCACGGAAATGTACAATTTAAAACCCATACAGTTCTTATTTGTTGGGCTTAATAGTCATGAGTAAAGTTCCGAAAGTAATTCTCAGCGGACACACGTCTCCCTCCATGTGCAGAACATGTGCAGGGGTGGGTTTTCTCCTCCCTGATTTTGATTGACAGCTGGCAGGGTAGTCTGATTGGCAACTGAGAAGTGAGTCTGATTGGCAACTGAGTTAAGGACGAAGGCGATTGGTGGATCGCTGCACAGCACATGCAGAGTCACATGGAGTGTATCTCAGTCGGTTACCCTTGAAATTAAAGGAGTTCATTCACCTCCAATATCGCAGGCTCTGCGATGTGACTATCGCACACACGTACATCGCGATGACGATAGTCAAACGATATATCGTTCAGGCCTAGTACAAGTACAGCAGTTGGAATAGCTGTTGCACAACCAGCAAAACTTACCTCCAGTGAGCCCAGAACATATAAACGGTATAAGTGTCATTGATTAAGGGGTGGCATCTCCATTTCTTTTAATGTTGTATTTTTGCAAGCAGAAAAAATGACCTTGGTATTCTTCTCTGTTCACTTAACAATTCTGCAACCCACTGAGTCATTGAATCTATCTATTGCATAGCAAAGCAATGGTGTGTAATCAAGCCTGTGGAGGAGAGGAGTAAGTAAAGCATGAGCTGCTTGAAGGCGCTGAATTGCACCTGATTAAATAATCCTTTCATCATTGCAGCGCAGTGCAGAGGGGACAAACAGTAGTTAGGGAGACATATGACAACATCAACAGAGAAAACACTGAGCTGCTGGCAAATTACTTTGCTTGCTGTTGTTGGACTTGCTGCTTTGATAAAATGTTCAATTTGCTCAAAAACTGATACCAACATATGGCAGATATTCAGCTGGTACCCGGTTTATGAGCTATTTTTCTCTTTGCTTCTCTAATGGTTCCTTCATCCCACCTCAAAGAAGAAAATTCCTTTCATGCATCCTCAGTGTTCAAGAAAAGAAAAACAATTTGGTGCATCATAGCTGAGAAGAAGAAAGTTCACATTTAAACGGATTTATCTGAAAACACACATTCTCATATTTCTAACATTCCGAGTCCAACAATATGAGATAAACTGTATGACAGAATACGTCTTTTCAAACAAACATCCAAACAGTGAAATAATCAGGACATGAGCTCAGCTCAGTTAAATGTTGTTCTTCAGCTGCTTTTTTGTGTGATGGTAGATGGTCTGTGTTTATAAAGCTCTGTTAGCTTCTGACCCCTCACGTAGTTTTTAACGTTGTGGCAGCTACGGTGAATGGAGGGAGTTTACAGTCAAACCAAATTTTTACTTTGTTACATGTCAGGCAACGCCACCCTGGAAACTTAGACCAGAGAATATTATTTTCTTTTTCGCAACGAAGAGACACTCAGGTTAGCTACACTCAAGAGGCCAGAGACGTGGTTCTAATTCTGTAAAAAAAAAAGAAAAAATGATACGGTAGAGACTAGCGATGTGTCCTTAAGTGTCGAGGCTTTGGAGCGTGTGTTGAGTAATGCTGAACTGAATGGCCAACCTCCCAAAGGAGAGAGGACCAACTCTACCATTCAGCCACGGCTACCACTCATGGGTCCTCCACTGCACTTCAGGACACAACAATGTAGCTTTATCCAGTGAGTGATTCTGGACAACACTGAATGAAATTTGGAAGAGATCCTGAAAGTGAGGAAGGGGTGAGTCAGATACAAGAAAACCTCTCATTCTGACTGAAATCATACAGTTTACTCCAAGCTTTACAAATTTCGTCAGAGGCTAGACCAGTGGCTTTTGGGTTAGTTAGGATGAAAGGTCACAGGGGAGCTCTGCATTTCCACCATGTCTAAATGTTATAAAGTTCTCACTAGGGAGAAACTGAGGCCCTAAAGGAACCAGCTATGAGTCAAGGATGTGTTAAACTCTCCCATTCACGACAAACTCTGAATTTTTTGTTTTCCTGATTTGTTTGAACAGTTACATATTTATGTGTACCTAAATAACTTGAACTAAAGTGTCGTTTTCTTCAGAGAGGTGTGAAAAGTCTATTTTGATTCTGATTTTGAATCATTTAAGGGGTTTGTCCCAAAGTTTGTATCAAGTTCCTCAACCTTGATGGAGTGTGCTTGAGGTCATTGGGCGATTGATTAAATTAAGGCCCGAACTACACGAATGCGGATATATTTCAAACCGCACATATTTATGTCTGATTAGGCCTCCCTACCACACCAAATCGGGAGTTTGGAGCACTCAAACCGGATAAATCTGAATCCGAAAAAACAAGTGGAGAAATAAAAAAATATCCGTATCCCGTATCCGTAGTGGATTCGTGTGGCTGGACTTTTACGGATCGATGACGTCAAACAGCAGCTCGCGCATGCGAATTAAAAAGAAAAACAACAACAACAACGATGGCGGACAGACAGGGTATTCTTCACGTTTGTTTTGCCCTTTTGGGGCTAATTTCAGCCTTGCAAGTGAACCTTGTTTTATACAATTACATCCACCAGTCAGCCAGCTCACAGACGCGTCTGCTGCGGCCAATACTTTTATTGGTCACATGGTCCGTCACATGGACCCGACGCACTAGCGTAGTTTCCGCAAACAATGCATGACGCATCACACTGTTATGATTCATCGGCCAATCAGTTAGCTTTGTTCCTGAATTTTTTTTAAGCGGCACCAGATAGGATTGAGTTTGAAGGCTACGTGTGGACGCAGATATTTTTGAGAACTAACACGTGTGGACAGATACATTTATTTAGACGGGAGTACAAAAATATCCTGATAAATAAATATCTATATACGTGTAGTTCGGGCCTAAGTTTGGCTCAGCTCATTTCTATTTTTTTAACTATGGTGAACTTTTTGTACAACCACTTTGTTTAACCCAGCTCCTCCTCTTACACTAGATATGAGCCTCCCAAAATCATATGTAATGTCACCGGTGTTGCTCTGTCTTGTTCTGGGCTTTAGCTGCCGCTCTCCCTGCCTCATGCATGCACATGAAAATGAGGGGAGGTGTGCTCTCCTTGCTGCAGCCTTTGGCACTCCGAGTAAGCATTTGGAAGGGCAGGGAGCTCTCAGGAAAGAGTTATAACACCAAATATAACCAATTGCATACACCTAATTAAATCTTTTGATGAAAGAGGTTCTGACTGAATCTTTTTCTCTTCTAAAGGACCTGAAAAGCTGTATTTTATTTAGAATCTGTAGACTGATACTACCTTTGTGTTAATACCCCAAAGGATTACTTGGTCCTCTCTGCAGCAGTGCCATGGCGCTTGCTTTCCAGACTATTTGCATAGCAGTCTGGTACCATTGAATTAAACATCAAAACATGTCAAAATAGTTTCAGATTCAACACGACCAGAGCTGCCCTCGCACTTTACTGATCCACAGCACCAGCAAAGTTTGAGCAGGCACACATTCCCGCTCGAAACAACTCCTCTGCCTCTCTGTACGTAAACAGGTTGACATTTTCAGATGTATTCAGTCTGTAAACTTCACTTTGGACATGGAAAGAGAAGAGCGGTGCCTGCAGAAACTCCTGAGGGCAGAGGAAAGCACTGCTGAAAATACTGTTTCTTGGACAGGTGATATCTGGTTAGCACAAAAGAAAAATACAGAAGATACCTCCAACTGTAGCTGGCTGTGTTGATGATAGATGCATCACTTTTACCGACTCAGACGACACCGACATGCCACTTAACTATCGTTTAAATGCGTCTAATTCTCCTCCTTTTGTGTCCAAAACGTCCTTTCCTTTTCATCTCTCCCTCTTTTTCTCATTCCTTAGTCTCTTCATATCTCATTGCACAGGCTGTGGTTGCCAAGGTAACTGACATTAATTCATACGACCATCAATTCAGTGCTCTACTTATTAGCCCCCCCCCCCCATGTTTTGTGTGTGTGTGTGTCTGTGTAAATAGAGTGGGCTTTCTTTTGTTTACATCTAGTTTACACTCTTTAGTCTGGTGTACATACTTTAACTCCGGTTGTTCAACTTTTGTTCTTTGTGCATCAGTTTGGGATCAGAAAGATTAATTTTCACTTCCCTGGAAGAGGTGGTGGAAGACAGGATGCTGGCAAAGCTGCTGGCAATCATGGACAATCCCTACCACCCCCTCTACAACACACTGGACAGGTTGAAGAGCAGCTTCAGCAACAGACTCATCCAACCCCGCTGCTCTAAGGAAAGATACAGGAAGTCATTCCTACCTACTGCAATAAGACTCTTTAACTCATCCACCCCTGTTAGAGCCACAGTCACTTACATGGACTAGCCTGCCATTCCTACATTGTTGTTGTAAATACGGTTACACATGCTTAGGTCGTAATTAAGTTATATTAAGCACATATAAGTATCGTACAATATTTTTATCACTTTTGCACATTTCTCCTTTGCACATCTACACTTACAGATTCATCCATCTTAGTACATACTATTTAAGTACTCATATTCATTCATTACCTTGTATAGTCTTGTATAGTCTTGTATATTTTATCTATTTTTTGTTTTTCTCCGTATTGCTTGTATCGGCTACTACAACAACCGAATTTCCCCTCGGGGATTAATAAAGTTCTCTATCTATCTATCTATCTATCTATCTATCTATCAAACAAAAGGAACAGGGAAGGAAACATATGACTCACTGACAGGCAGCAATACCGACACACAGAATATAACACTTCTCTGTCACATTGTGTACATTTGTAAAGAGATATGATACACCAACACACATCTCTTCAGACTCAAGTCCCCTCCTCAGCATACACACACACACACACACACACACACACTTGCACACACCCCTGACTTCATTATCTGCGCTCAGCCATCAGGATGTCAGCAGCAGCAACCATGGTAACGAGTGGAGTAATAGAGAGAGAGAGAGAGAGAATAAGAGAGTGTTGAGATTCACAGCCATTTCACACCAACGCATCATTAATGTCATTTAACTCGCCCCTCTGTGACACTTTCTATCTCTCCGTCTGTTTTCTTCTCTCACTTCCAGTCTCTTACCTTCTCTCCACTCTTTTCTTCCCTTCTTCCTCTTGAGCCTTACGTTTCTCTCACCCATCTGTCTCTCTCCCTCTCTTTCTTCCTTTTCGTCAGGTTTATGTACAAAGCTTTGCAGATGACTCACAAAACCTGGTTGCTTTCCAGTTTGTGTTTGTGTATGTTTGTGTATGCAAAGCCACATCTTGCTGCTTTATTGCTACACAGCCGCAGTGTGCAGCTGTACTCACCAACTGTGAGGGGTTAACAGTGGAGATTTTACTTTTATTCTGTTCAGGAATAATCCAGTGAAACACCCTCGCTGCAGTGCATTGGTATTAGAGATGTGCAGCGGGGGAAAATCCTCATATTAGGAATGAATGAACTCCCATTCAGCATGGTAAATCTGGAGATCACATGTTTTATGCACCTGTCTGCATTCCTGCTGAACTCCTGAACTTCTCTGAGAAACTATTTCTACATTCTAATCCTTCAAAAATATCTCTGCAGAGATATCAAATAAACAGATAAATCAGAAAAAGGGGGATAAGTGTGAAAATCTTATTAATGCATTTGAAAAGTATTGAATAAATCAGTCACACCATGACTGAAGGAACTGATGGGTCCGAATCTGCCGTTTGAAGTTTCTAACCAGCAAACATCCTTTAAGTTCATGTTTCCTTTGAAGGTTTTGTAAACAGCACAGTTTTGAAGCTTTGCCAACAGAATAAAGTCAGTAGATGCTTATCTCTGTGCAACTCCACAGAAGTTTACAGCGTACAGAGAGCCATACCCAGGTGATAAATGAGCTTACAGTGCCATCTGCTGGTCACAGGCAGTACTGTATGAGCATTACTGATAAAGCAGTCCAAGAAATCAGCATACAACATGAGAAACGGAGGTGTCATACTAAATTCATACTTGGACAGATAACAGGTCAAAACGTAAATTACAAAAACACATCAAGACTCAGGCCATGGTAAAATGGTGATGTCCTGCCATTATAGCCCAACCAGAGGGGTAAAAGGTAAGAAACACAAGAGAGAGGCAAACTGAAAACAGTCAGTATTTGCTGTCTAAAAACTAAAAACTCTAAACTAGATTAAGAAGACCATGTCTCTGGTCCATGGTGAAAACAAACTAGCTTTAACAACTGCTAAGACGATTACTTTGGCTTTCCATACATTTCTCAAAACTGTTAACAAATGACATGGGAGCAATCACAAATCTCTGATTCTTCTTGGAGAATCAAACAATCCCATCAGAACAGTTTTAACCTGTTCTCAGTATCTTAATCCACATGTTCTCACACCAAACACAGAAATAAAACCACTACAGAGCAGGAAGAACATCAGTGAAAAGAAAACACATCAGTCAGGGGTAAAAGTTCATTTGAGGCAACATCAATCAACCTATGTATCATTCCATCCATCAATCCATCCATCCATCAATCCATCCATCAATCAATCCGCAAACATATCACAATGTATTTGCATGAAATCCAACACAAACAGTCTTGTGTGTAAAACAAAGTCACTATAGTTTTGTACGTGCTGCAGACATTCAGATCAGTATGCACTTCTGATTTACAAATGGTATTGTTGATATGTTGCTGTATTTCATGGAGTCTAATAGTATTATTTTGAGGGACCAGATTAAATATCAGAGAATATGCAGTTCTTCAGAAAGGGGACATGCATTTACAAAATGATACACGCAAAGCAGTACAACACAAGTGCAAACAGAAGTGGACCTACCCAGATGTCACAGATTGGGATTTACTCTTTGTTCTGCTGTCTTTATTGTTATTTCATGAAGTCTATCACAGCTGCTCTAATTTCATCTGTGATTTATGGTCTTGGTCTTGGTCTTCCTTATCCGCATTTCATAGCAGCCTCTGCCAACAGCGTGTGAACATGGTGTGAATGGGTTAATGAGTGGTCATAAGACGAGCAGAAGCGTGACGTAAATGCAGTCTGTTTACCATTTACCTGCGGTGTAACTGTGTGTAACCACCTGTGGTTACCATTATGATCTCCGGTGCACAAAGTACATAATGTGAGAACACTCCAGTTAATGGTTTGACATGTTCTCTGTGGGTTTATTTCTGAGGAATACAAATCAACAGTGAGCTGCTGCTTATTTGGCTTTTAAACCTTCCAACAGTCTGTCCATGCAATATTGTCTGCCTTTTTTCAGTTATTTAATTTGCCGTATTATCTGCTTAATTGTTTCCTTTGGTATGAATTAAAATTAAAAAATAAAAACTCCAAAGACACAAACACAACCCAGATGGCAAGTTCAGCTATTAAATGAGCAAATGTAATCCAAAGCAGACTCTGGTCAAGAGCACCCTGCAGTCACAGCAGATGTAGTCTGAATTAGTTTTGATCGTTCACTTTACTGTATGTAGTTCAACCCTGAATAGTGAAATTTGCAAATGACACATTTTTCAAAGAATGTTGAGTTTATCAAACAATCATGTTCAAATTGCAGATCCTTCTATAATGACGGACTGAAATGTAAAGATACGATAAAGGAGGTTTGGTGATCTTTGGTGATAAATCCCAGATGTCAGAATAGATGGACAAAGATATTAAACAGTTTACTCATTTTTACCTCTCATTCAGTATTTTTTGCATGCAAACAACCTCTTAAGCCCACTAACTAACTAATTCAGTTGTTTGTGCCTGGACCTTGCAGAACCTTTGACTTGTTGTTACAACATGGATATGATTGTCAGGTTATCAAGACGAATACCTGTTTTCCTGGGGGCAGCTACCATGAGGACTTTGTATTGAAGATGACCAGCTGGTACTGGTTGATTTCTAAGTGTTGAAACCAGAGACTGTATATAAAATGAACGCCGCCTGCCTCCTTGCTGAGTGAAGCCACCCTGAGAACAGCACCCTCTGTTGACAGGCTGCTGTATAGGTCATAAATCCCACCTCCTTCAGCGATCCCTATGGAGCTGTGGACAAACTTTAGAAATGTATTACATAGAAGATAAATGTTTCTCCCCCCTGGCTGCAATCTTGACATGTAGTTGCTTTAAGACTGGTTTGTGCTCAAGTCCTCCTTTTTCTGTTCAGCTCCATTTTAAAAGTTATTAGGGGGTTCATGTTTTCTATGATTGACACCTGATACAGCCTACGGGCGTATGAAGATTGAGTAGGACAGCCAATCACCAAGGCGACTCTCTGTGACTCTCTTGACGAATGCGTACAACGCTATTGCGCAAGTGGTGGAATGTGTACAAAGCATGTCTTCCTGAACACACATGTCTGTGACAAGGAGGTGGATACAGACGTGCGTATCTTTAAGTGGAAATACTGGGAGCAATTCGGCAATTCAAATTTGTACAATGACGGAAGGCGTAACTAAGTTGTAATATTTGTAGCATTTGATCTGCTGTTTTGAGACTAGATAGTGAAGGTTAAAGTCTTTCAGCCTCACAGCAATGTACACACTTGACCTGGTTACTCATCAGGTTAAAAAGAGAGAGAGATCATTCATAAAACTGGGATGGTGTACTTCTTTGGCCTGCTGTCTCACAAAACTGTTCTACCCAATGGGAACCAAAAGCAACCACAAGAATCTTGAGTTGTACAGTATCAGAGGAACATTAAGAGCATTACCTGTAATTAAGGGTTCCTTTCTGAACAGGTGTGGGGTGTTCAGTTGATGGCCTGCTTCCTTCAGGAGATACATAACATGTTTGAACATGTCATTTATTCATACAGGGATTCATACAGACCCGTGAATAAATACAGGTCCTAAAGAAGCAGAATAAAGAGATAATCCTCTCCCGTGTCTGAAACTGAACTTCAACAGCTCTGCATTTTCTAAATTTGAATTTGACTGCTTTCCAGTAAACAGAAATGTGCATTCAAAAACAGTGACACATCCAGTTTCTTCAAGCAGAGCCAGAGTGTTTATGAAACTCTGCACCTCCATCTGAAGACTGAGCCATGGCAAATCACCCAGTGTGAAGTAGTGCTGAGTCGATGGAAGAAATTATTACATTTCTGCACTCGATTGACACGTGACCCCAAGTCATCCTTCCTAGACTTCTCTAAAGTCCCTCTTCTCCCCAACTCCCCCTTCTTTCCTCGCACCTTTTTCTACTTCTAATAATGCACTATCATCCAAGCAGCTGAGTGTCTATGAAAACTATATATATAGATATATATCCAGACGTCTGAAGTCAGAAGAGAGCTCACCTTAACTTATCCCTGTGAGAATGATGGATGGAAAAGTAAGAGCTAAGAGAGGAAACAAGTGATAGAAGCCGGGGCAAAGAAGTGGCAGCCAGCATCCAGACGGTGTTGTTGTAGTCTCTCCTCTGAAACTCGGCTTTCCCCTGCAGGCCCAGAATGGAGCCTCCCTCAAGGAGTTTTTCTATTCTGTCTTCATATCTGTATGTCTGTGTTCTCAGTAATAAATAAAACACATAATCTTACTTTATTTTTCCTGCAAGTTTCCAGACATCGGTTTTGATTCGTCACAGAGAGAAGTTTTATATTTAGACACATATGGAAGCAGAGACTTTTATTGTTATTCAGAGGAGACTACGGGGGTCCCAGCACATAGTAACAGAAACAAAGACTCCTTTTCTACTGCGAAGATTCAAGTCCAGAGAAGAAGGTCCTGCAGGGTGTTTCAGATGGGAGTTGAGCAAAAACTCTGACTTTGTTAACTCTGAGTTGAGGTGAAGCTTAAGTTTTCAGTTTTAGACACAGACAGTACTTAAACTTTGGGCCAGTTACTTTGCAGCTCAGCAACAAAATCTGACAAACTCGAAGTTTCTTTCCATCTCCACCCTGTCATCGAGCCTGAAGTCACCGTCTGATAACTGTTAATGTCCTCATTTATCATCAGTGTCGAAGCATGTATCACATCTGTGAGCAGAGAGCCAGAGATGTTCAAGTCCTGCTCAGACTTCTGTTCGAAGGGGATTCTTTGAAACATGACAGCTACTCATGTTTCTGTCATCCAGGTAAGAACAGAGACAGATCTTTGTCTTCACCTCAAAAGTAAAGCCTTTGAATCTGTCAGAGAGCTGAATCTGACAGGGGTCGAGCATAAACTACAGGAGGACAGTACTATATAAGGGACCTATAATGTCAATCCCTTTTTATATTCAGAACACACACACCTGCAGCGTAACAGTGTTGGATGTCTATACTTAACCCCAGCACAGTTTCTAAACACAACATACACAGATGTTTGCACAATCCCCAAACAGGTTTCCTCTCTGAACAGCTCGTTCAGTCCATCTCCGCTCTGATCCAGTCTGGCTCTATGCCCCCTCATCCCTCAACACCTGCCAGCTGTGTTTTTAGTCATACAGTTGGAGTCACAAAATTTTAGGATTTGCCACCACTGATACAGAACCAGTGTTTTTCTTTCTCCACAATGAGCTCTGAAAACCTCTAAGCAGTTGACTCCAGGCCTGACTTTGCTCAGCAGCCATGTTTACATAGGCGAATTTTCTTGATCCAATTAAAAAATTTGAGGGATAATCTGAATCCACTGTTTACATGGGTGCAAAATCAAATAATCCGATCATGACGTGCATATACATGCACCAAATTTCATTCAGATTAAGCATTTGGACATGCTCAGAGTTGTCTGATTTTGCTAAAACAACCGCAGAAGAGGAGTTGTATTTAGGTCTGTTGTGGCTCACTTCATCCAATGCAGGATTTTTCCCCCTGTTAAATATTGTCACTAGATGGCGCCGTTGCTCACTTATTTTACTGCTCTGTCAAAGGTTGCACTGTGCGTATGTACGCCTTGTTATGTTATATTGGTGTCCATGTAAACACAGCTAGTGATGCCTGGGGACTAAGGGACCAAGCAACCAGGCAAAGGACAAAGGTGTGGGAAAAGACCTTGATCCTAGTGATGTGTCCTTCAGTGCCAAGGCTTCGGAGCGTGTGTCGAGTAATAGAGGGGGCGTATCTGCGAAGCGCGTATCGAGTCTTGCATGTAGGGGTGGAGCCAAAAATGATGGCGCCCGAAGCCTCGCTACCTGGCTGTACCACGTGACTGATTCAAGAAACGGTTCGCGGGTTTGGCGGATGATTTAACAGGCAGCGAAACGCAATGGAGTCCTCCACCACTCTCAACCAATAGACTCGAGACTTGTTGAAAAGTTGTTTTTAAATAAAAATAAATGAAATGTTTATGTTTTACATGTGTACCCCATTAAAAAGTATGAACAACAAACTAAGTAACACAAGCACATTCACATCACAACCATCTCCATTATTTATTTCCTCTTCCCCTTTTTCACCCTGCTACTGTGTCTTAAATGACACCATGTTAACAACTTCATTATTTCTGTATTGTATCACAAACACACGGCATCACATGCATTCATTTATTCAATTCAAAGCTTCGCGCACCAAAGCTTCGGGGTGTCTTTGGTTTATCAGTCTGCCTGTTATACATTTATTGTCCACTTGATGGAACAGTAGAGCAAATGAAGCACAATAATGAAGCTTCAGCCCAGGAGTCGAGCAATTGGATGGAAGGCCTCAGTGCTTCAATGGAAATGCTGAGTGCTGAAAGCTGAAAAAGCAATGCAAAAGTGCTAAAAAAATGGACGAAGGTTTAAATGTAAACTTGGTTAAAGAGCTGGAGAAAGAAAAGTAGAAGTTGGATGAAAGTGAAAATTGCTGAAGTACAAATAGTATGAATGTGCTTCATTAAAATTGCATTCATGCTGAATAAGGCTAGAAAAACTGTCTGAAATTGCAAAAAAATTTGGATAAGGAAGAAAATTACCTTAAAACACAGAAAAGTAAGAAGTGGCATAAGTTTAAGTTGAAGTACTAGAAGAAGTATGATAATAGGAAGTTGTACTAGTGATATTAGAAGTCATGTAAGCAGTAGAAGTAGTTTTAGAATAGAAGAAGTAGAAGTCAAAGCAGTAGAGCTCGTAGTAGAGGTGAGAGTAGAAGTAAAAAAAATATTAAGAGAAGCAAGAGCAGTGGAGGTAGAAGTGAGGATACAAGTTAAAGTGATATAAGTAGTAATTGTAGTGGTAGAACTGGGATTTTGTTTGAAGAATTAAAACATACATAAATAATGAGAATGATTTTGAAGTGGGAAAAATTTAAAATAATTAGAAGTCCTAAAGTGTTAAACAGGTTTGAAGTATCAGAAAGGTTTGAATCAGTTTGAATGAGTTTGGATTTGTCTGACGAATTTAATAATGCATGAATAATGAGAATAATTTTAAAGTGGGGAAAAGTTAAATGAATAAAATCCTGAGTACACCCCATAATATCTTCAATGAGCTGAATTTTTGAAGCCCAGAATGGTTTCTGTAGCTCAAAGTTTGTGGGTGGAGATAGGTGGTGATGCAGACACATATTAACTGTGTGTACATGCAGGTCTTTTAGACACAGACACACACACACACACACACACACATTGTCAGACTGTGTGTATGTGTGTGTGTCTCGTTAATGATTTTATCCTAAACAGCTGTGAGATCAAAGGCATTAACTGACCTACTGTTTGAATGAGAAGCTGCCTCTGGACTTCTTCACATAGCACGATTTCCTTAAATCCCAGAATGAAAATAAGAACATCGTACGAATCCTCCGCCCTGCATGAACACAATGATCTGTTTTTCATGTCTGTACCCAAAAAAATGTGGCCACAACAGCGAGTTAAAAGTCAAGACGTTCGAATGGTTATCTTAAAAGTGATGCATTGACATCACATGAAAGTCCTGCCCACCATGTCAAAGACTCTTCGTGCTTAAGAGCAGAAAAACTCATGTTATTGTGAGAAATCTCTATAAGAGATTTTTTTATGTCTTCTTGGCTATTTAAAGCTGTCAGTCTGAAACTTATTTGACAGTTTCTTTTGTACTAACCAATGCTTTCTTATTTCTTCTTTCAATCTGCACAGAAGAGTCAACCCATTCCTGTAAAAGGAGAAGCTCCGAGAATTGCGTGCTCGAGCTTCAACAGGAGGTAAGAAACACGTTAAACTTATGATGACAGTAAAATGCAAACTCAAATTTGTAGGGTTGTGATATTAAACAGTAGTTTAACAATGTGTCTCTAAAACAATCTTTTACCTCTTTTGCATTTAATATGCAGAGTGTAACATTTGAAACATGACAGAGACCTCCCAGCAGATTATAATCTGGGACAGTTCAGAGTTAAATCTGTGACAGTGCCAGCAAAAATCTAAAGATTCGCAAATTTAGGATTTGATTTTGGACTTACACTGTGTTTCATACTGTTTTTGTCACAAGACACATGTATTTATGTGATACATTTCAGTGGTTATTTAAACTGAATAAAACAATTCAAAGGCTTTACATCAGACATTTACTGATCAATTAATCAGTCAGACAAAGGAAATGTGTAAAAACACTAAATGAAATAAAGAAGTTTTATCATTGTTTGCTCTTACTGGGAGTCTCTAGTCAAAAACTAGTAAAGTCAGGTCAGATAGATAAGATACTCCTTTATTAGTCCCACAAGGGGAAATTTCCAGTAAGGGAAACAAAGACCATTTTAATTTACTGTGTTTGAAATTGAAGGAAAAACACGTTTTGTATGAGGCCTTTTCCTGGATAATATGCATTAAAAAAGCTTTGTTTTAAAAACGCTGTGTCAACTTAAAGAGATTCAGCACTTAGGTTTTTAATGAATAAGTGTGAACAAAGAGGGGGTTAACTTATCAATAACAACAACACAAAATCAGGGAATAACCTTCAGGTATTTTAAATCACTGTGAGTGTGCTGTATTGTTTTTGATACATAAAGACACTTTTTCAGTTTGACTCTGATACTTCCTCAAAGACCATCTAGTGCGTGTTTATTGTATTTTATCGTCTGAATATCACCATGGTTTGAGTCTGTGTGACTGTCATGTGTCTCTGCAGATATTTCTGTTTATGGATTTGTTTTGTTCATTAAAATAACCAACCTGTGTTTCTGTGTTGACCAGTAACACTGTGTCAGAGGCTTCTGACGCAGAAAACTGCTGCCCAAAGAACTTTTGGCTGCACAGGCTGTTTGGTCAACCTCTGGTATGTTTCAGAGCTGTTAAAATAAGATCATTTTATAAGTGTGACATTTAAAATCAGACACTAAAAATATTTGACACAGTGGGTTTTTATTTTTATATTTGTTGTTACTCCACAGAGAAAAGTCAGAAGTCTAATCAGCCATCAGCGGAGGTGAGTAAACTGCTCCAACAATCAGCTGTTTATTTGTGCAGCCACAAAAGCTTCTGATAAATGTTGACTAGTCACTGCAGACTCCTTTAAAAACATCACTACAGGTTGTTAAAACAAATGTCACCGCCAGGTAACGGGTGTGTGCATGTGTCTGCAGAGTTCACCTCCAATGGTCTGGCTGGCTCCACAGCACCCCCACCTGGGGAGAAAATCAAGAAACCAAAGGCGAAGAAATGGAGTTGTTCTTGGTTTTTTAAGTGCTGTAGTGTAAGTAAAGCATAGGAATACCAGTCTGGACTTCAGTGTTGTTATAAGCATTAGTTTTGGTTTATCTTTCAGTTGATTCTGTTACTGACAAATCAAAATTATTTTTACTCCATCAGAGAGAAAAGCATGTGTCTCCTCTCTCTGATCCTAAAGATCAGCGAAAGCCTCCTCGGGAACTCCAGAGAAGGTAACAAACTCATTTTGTTCACAGGATGGATCAATTTTGGTGTCACCTGATGAGTTAAATCATCACGTGACACAAATCAGGTGCTATCAATTCTGTTCATTGTTATTTACAGTTTGTTTTTGTCTCACTGCAGCACTGACGAGGTTTCTCAGAGCAGAGTGCCACAGAGCGAACCGAGAGTCGCCTATCATCAGGTCAACCTTGGGTGAGTACACGTGATTTTCTGGATTCGTCACTTAAATCCATGCAGCTACATTTTGATAAAAACAATCCTCAGTTTGTGTCTGGAGCTGTGATATTAAAATATGATTCCATTTGTTGTGTTTGTGTGTCAGATTTCCAAACCCAGCCCAGAACTGTTACATGAACTCCAGCCTCCAGAGCTTGCTCACGCTCACACAGTTTGTGAGGGACATCAGGAGCCAGGAGGAGGTCTGGAGTCTGATCCCAGAGGCCCAGCTGATGAGGTGTAGTATCTGTAAACACACACACACACACACACACTCTTACACTTTGGTGCATAAGTGTCTTACCTGGCTAGATGTCACAATAAGTTCCCTGGTGAGGTCCACGGGGTCATGATGTTTCACCAGCTCATAGGACTGAGTGAAGTGGAACCTCTTAATTTGGAGCACCAAGAAACTGTGGAGAGCAGCAGAGAGGGAATGACCACAGGATTATTAAACTGAGGGAATTTCTGAGCATGAAAATACTGAGGATAAATTAACAGAAAATAATCCGTGCATGTGTCTGCAACAGAGGGAAACAGTGAGTCTGGGATGGATGTAACATCACCCACTTTGGCAGGGTTGTGAAGGTGGAGCATTGTGCAGAAGTTGTGTCTCCATACCCGCAGTTGAACTCCAAGGGCTCTATTTTCGTGCGCGCCGGTGAGGCGGCGGAGGGCGGCGAGCCCCGCGCAGTTGTATTTTCGTCTGGCGGAGCCCAGCGTAAGGCCAGTTTGGTATTTTCGTGGCATGAGCCGCACGGAGGTGAGCCGAGATCTGCCAAGCTGGGCGTGGTGGCGTGGCAAGGGGAGGTGTCGACAGAATCAGCTGGCGCAGTGACATTTTCGTGCTCGCCAACGGCGTGTAAAGTGCGCTGAAAGCTCGCCGATTCAAACCTGGTCAGCTTTCAGCGCAAGGCGGAACGCAGCTGGTCTTGTAGTATTTTGGTAGACCGGCGGCGTATCGACATACGTCACTGATGCCTCACCGGCAGGTTTCCACAGTGTCAGGCACATTTCAGTGCAATAAATAATCATCAACAACTATTAATCTGAGTCAGCACATACATTTAGATCTATATCGATATATTCTGATCTATATCTGATCTGATGAGCGCGTTTGGCACGCGTTTGGACACACAACCTAACCGAATCAACACAGCTGAAACTGCATCAAATTAAATTAAATATCTAGTAAATAAACACACATGATGAAGTTAACAAGATACGTAATGTGTCTCCCTCCTTTTCTTTCTTCCTCTTCCTCTTATTTCTCGCACAGCTCGACCTGGACATGTCTCCGTGTCCTCTGTCCGTCTTGCTGCTGCTGCGGCTGAACAGATGATTTGTTTCAGTGCTCAGATGCGTTATCTACTTTAAGCCGACATAAGGATATTATAATATTCAGTTTTGTGAGCCAAATTTATTTTATATGCCAACATCTATGAAAGAAAGAGCCAGGCCACGGAGCGCGATACGTCATTTACGCACAGATGGTTCCGATTTTAATGCCATTTTTGGAGTTTATGTTGTGATCTGTGCGCTCAACCCACCTTTGTCACGTGAGGTTTGAATATGAGCAACTTTATGTGAGTGTCTTTATTTGTGGAAAAGGGTGTTTGTCTTACCAGTGGGTCCAACATTACGCACGCTAAATCCATCTGTGCTCATTTGAGAGAGTGTGGAGGACACTTGTTGAGGAGCTGCCCTCTGTCGCCATCTTGTGGCATTACTGTCTTAAGACATCTCTTGATCTCTTTGACTACTCCATGAAAATAGTAATACGCCTCGCCTGTGGCGGATTTAAAGGCAAGGAGAGGAGCCTATGTGATTGGTGAAAACAGGTCTCGGCTGTGTTAAACCAACTACACGCCCTTTCTCCTCCCCGTCTACGACTTATGGTCCTGGGAGGAGCTGAGTTAGGGAGGGGGGATACTTACGCCGGGCTGCGCGGCTCACCAAAATACCAAAATGTGCTTGGGAACGCCTTGTCAGCGCGGCGGATCTGACTGACGCTGCGCTTGCGGCACGTCTCCGGCGAGGCACCAAAATAGATCCCCAAGTCTGTCTCCTGCAGAGAAAACATGCTGTCAGATACTGTGTACACTAAACATGGAAAAACAACAACCAAAAATAACCGCAGAGTGAAACATTTGAGTGGCTTCATATCAGACAGTGTGGATGTTGATTAAAGAAGTCCAGCTTCTTTACCTTCTCATATTCCTGCAGCATCTGCTGCACCGAACCCCCAGGAATCAGGTCCAGAGAGAGATTTAGGAACTCCTCCTCTCTCTCTGAGGCAGAGCCACATCTGCACGTTAAAAGGACAATACATATGATTATACTCCCATGACCTCCCAGCAGATTATAATCTGGGACAGTTCAGAATTAAATCTGTTTGGGATTTGATTTTGGACTTACACTCATTTTGTTTTGTTACAAGACACATGTATTTATGTGATACATTTCTTTTTTTTTTTGTTTTTTACTGAATAAGACAATTCAAAGGCTTCACGCAAGACATTTACTGATCAATTAATCAGTCAGACGAAGGAAATATGTAAAAACACAAAATGAAATGAAGAAGTTTTATCATCTTTTGCTCTCACTGGGAGTCTCCAGTCAAAAAGTAGTATAGTCAGGTCAGATAGATAAGATACTCCTTTATTAGTCCCACAAGGGGAAATTCCCAGTAAGGGAAACAAAGACCATTTTAATCTACTGTGTTTGAAATTGAAGGAAAAATATATTTGCGTTAAAAAAGGGTGACAGACCTCCTGACATGTGTTGTATGAGGCCTTTTCCTGGATAATATGCATTAAAAAAGCTTTGTTTTAAAAACGCTGTGTCAACTTAAAGAGATTCAGCACTTAGGTTTTTCATGAACAAGTGTAAACAAAGAGGGGGTTCATTTATCAATAACAACAACACAAAAACAGGGAATAACCTTCAGGTATTTTAAACCACTGTGAGTGTGCTGTATTATTTTTGATACATAAAGACACTTTTTCAGTTTGACTCTGATACTTCCTCAAAGACCATCTAGTGCGTGTTTATTGTATTTTATCGTCTGAATACCACCATGGTTTGAGTCTGTGTGACTGTCATGTGTCTCTGCAGACATTTCTGTTGATGTATTTGTTTTGTTCATATTAAAATAACCAACCTGTGTCTCTGTGTTGACCAGTGTCACTGTGTTAGAGGCCTCTAACACAGAAAACTGCAACCCACAGCTTTCTTGGTTGCGCAGACTGTTTGGGCAACCTCTGGTATGTCTCAGAGCTGTTAAAATAAGATAATTTTTATAAGTGTGACATTTAAAGTCAGACACTAAAAATGTTTGACACAGTGTGGTTTCATTTTAATATTGTTACTCGACAGAGAAAAGTCAGTCCGACTGAGAGAGAGTACATCAGCCATCAGCAGAGGTGAGTAAACTGCTCCAACAATCAGCTGTTTATTTGTGCAGCCATAAAAGTTTCTGGAAAATGTTGACTAGTCACCACAGGTGGTTCAAACAAATGTCACAGCAAGATAATGAGTGTGTGCTTGTGTCTGTAGAAACCTCGCCTCAGATGGTCTGGCTGGCTCCACAGCGCCCCCACCTGGGGAGAAAAACAATCAACCAAAGGAGAAGAAATGGAGTTGTAGGTTTTTTAAGTGCTGTAGTGTAAGTAAAGCAGAAGATAACCAGTCTGGACTTCAGTGTTGTTATAAGTGTTAGTTCTGGTTCATCTTTCATTCGATTCTGTTGCTGACGATTCAAAATTATTTTTACTCCATTAGAGAAAAAAACGCGTGACTCCGCTTTCTGATCATGAAGATCAGCAAAAGCCTCTTCAGAAACTCCAGAGAAGGTAACAAACTCATTTTGTTCACAGAATTGATCCATTTCGGTGTCACCTGATGAGTTAAATCATCCCGTGACACAAATCAGGTGTTATTAATTCTTTCTTAAAGCTCCTGTGAGGAATTTTTTGTTTGTGTTGCTTTTTAAGGCCACACAGAGGCATCCCTATCAATATCAGTCTGTTATAATTGACCAAAAATCTCTCACAGTAGCATTAACATGAAGTCACTTGTACATGAAAATCAGTATATCTGCTGAATATGATTTTTTTCCCCCCTTGAAACATACTCACAGTCTGTTCCTCTCTTCTTTTTTCAGTCTTGTCAAAGAAAAAAGTCATCAGGCTGGTGACTCCATCCTGGTGTTGGAAGATTTCAGGGAAGATGAAGAGGAAAAGCCACACCAGCAGGAGAAGAAACTTACAGTCCCATTTGCTCAGCAGACTGTTATCGCCTCTTCAGCAAAAGAAAAGGCTAATGTAGAGGACAAGTAAGAAATGACCACTGTGCTTGTGCAAACTTCTGTTAGTGTGACAAAAGCTGTCAGAGACCCGTCCTACAAATCTGATCAGTTAAATACAACAAACGGGTCAGTCTGTGGATCATTAGTCCATATTTGAAGAAACCAATTAACATTAACATAAGCAGGACCTAAGATCCTAATGCTGTAGAATAACCAATTTGATTGTTTGACAAGAGCAGTTTAATACACTCTTTCTGTACCAGAGTTAAAGAGGAGGTTGATGTCTCAATAAAGAAAGTTATGGTTTGAGTTAGCTTGAGGTTATCACTTTCACCCCCGTTTAAACATTATGTTCTTACTTGGGACATGTTTTCATTGGCAATGAAAGTCAAAAAGGATTATTGGCAGTGCTGGTAATGTGAATTAAAAACTCTGAGTGTTGTGTTGGTCAAATCTCTTCAGATCTTTCCTCTCCTTAAATCCAATCCCACCTCAACTTCAATATTGATTTTTGCTAAAATAACCTCCTTTTCCACAGATGAGGTCAACTGTAAAATATGATTCAGTACAAGTAGATTACTAGCCTCACACACTTGTAGCTCTCTGCTGTTTATTGTTATTTATGGTTTGTTTTTGTCTCATTGCAGCACTGATGAGGTTTCCCAGAGAAGACTGTCACAGTGGGAACAGAGACTCACCTGTCGGCAGGTCAGTCTTGGGTGAGTACATGTGATTTCCTGCATTCATCACTTAAATCCATGCAGCTACAGTTTGATAAAAGCAATCCTTAGTTTGTGTCTGGAGCTGTAATATTAAGATATGATTCCATTTGTTGTGTTTGTGTGTCAGATTTCCAAATCCAGCCCAGAACTGTTACATGAACTCCAGCCTCCAGAGCTTGCTCACGCTCACACAGTTTGTGAGGGACATCAGGAGCCAGGAGGAGGTCTGGAGTCTGATCCCAGAGGCCCAGCTGATGAGGTGAGGAGGGTTAGGTCATTTTACACCAGGTTGCATGGGTGAGAGTGGTTCACACAGCAGATAACAGCCAGCACAGCTGTCTGCAGGAGTTCCTATGTTAAAGCAAAGCCATGCACTGCAGATGAGTCACAAGAAGCAACTTACACCACTTGCAAAAAGTCAAAAATGTATAATTTTTTGTTTTAGATTATTGTATATCGCCTTCAAACACCTTAACTATCCTTAAATAATTGTACACAAAACATGCCAAGTACAATGTTTACATTGAGAAATGGTCTCTGATTTGTTTGTTTTGTACACCAACGTTTCCTGGTTTGGTTCAGAAAAGATTGTGACTTGGATTAAAATTCAAATGTGATCTTTACAGTTACTCTCAAACAGCTTCAACAACAGAATGTGTTGTTGAACCTACGAGTGAAACTTTTGATTTAAACTAGAAACTGAAATACAAGAAAGGAAAGGAATAATGCATCAAAATTAATATTGCTATTCAAAATTGACCCAAAGCTTTTTTTGGTCCTCAGGATATGAGAAATATTAAACTTTTGTCTTTTTTTAAATGAATAATCAGGTTTATTGTGTTAATGAACTGGCATTTAAAGGGTAAAAAAAAATCTGAATGATTAATAATAGGTATTAATATACAGGACTGAAACTGAGGAAAAGATATGAATAATAAAAGCTTATGAAATATGTCAATGTAAGATAATTCAAATAAAGTATTCTGATTAAATGTTTTTTTTTTAAATCTGACATTGTAAAAAAAAAAAAAATTACATACCCCCAAATCATTTTTACTGGTGATCACAAAAATGGTCCAAGCTTAATTTTTAATTTTTTTTTATTTTGAAAGTTTCCTCATTTTTATGTTGGAAAATAGTATATTTTTTTCAATGCATTGTGTATGTAGACTGGGATAGGGTTAAAATTCTGGAAATTATCATTTGATATTTATAAACAGAGTTGAAGCTGGTGAAATAAATGTGATTCATTATAAGTTTTATAAGTTTTATAATTTTTTATAAGCTTTGAACTTACTCTTTGTCCTGTACTGTAAAAAGAGATTTTTTTTAAGTTTTAAAATTGATTCAACATTTAATATAAATGAACAATAAATCTGCTTAAAAGATTTGACCCATTAAACAAAGAGATAATATCCATGTAAAAATATTTCATGACAGATTTTTTGCCAAGGATAAGTTAATTTCAGGATATCAGGAACTTTCTGTTGCGGAGACATGAAGCTTCTGTTTATCTGCAAATCTTTCAACCAAACTGAAACTAGCTCCTCTCTGTTTCTCTGCAGTTATTTCATGGACATCGCATGTCTCCGTGACGTGGGTGACATGCGCCGCAAACTTGAGGCTCTGTGTGAATTTAAGAGGCTTCTCTCTGTCAAGGCTCCAGAGTTTGTGGACAACCATCAGAAAGTAAGTCAGCTCGTTTTCTTTAAAGTTTCACTAGCTGCTCCTTGTCTGCTTATCCAGTCAAACCTGTGTTTCTGTTTGCTCAGGATGCCCACGAGTTTTTGATTGCTGTTCTGGGTCAGATGAGGGACCTGGCTGCGCCGCTGAGGCAAGTTGCCTACATACTGGGGAGGTCCTACAGGTGTCCTGTGGAAAGGAACCTGGTGTTCAAGATGCAGAATACTCGAAAATGCAAGAGGTAAAAACATACAGATGGTTGCAGGACAAATTTACCTCCAGTTTGACTCATTTGTTAATTTTTTTTGCTCATTTTTATCAAGTCAGGTCAAATCTACAGTAATCTTTTCTTTTATCTTTAAATTTTCTTTTCTCAACATGTATAACTTCAGTATATAATTATATGTATTGTCCCTTTAACGTGCAGATGTGGCTCCCCCTCGGTGAGAGAAGAGGAGTTCCTAAATCTCTCTCTGGACCTGATTCCTGGGGGTTCGGTGCAGCAGATGCTGCAGGAATTCGAGAAGGTAAAGAAGCTGGACTTCTTTAATCAACATCTACATTGTCTGATATGAAGCCACTCAAATGTTTCACTCTGCGGTTATTTTTGGTTGTTGTTTTTCCATGTTTACTGTACACAGTATCTGACAGCATGTTTTCTCTGCAGGAGACAGACATAGAGTTCAACTGCGAGTGTGGAGACACAACTTCAGCACAATGCTCCACCTTCACAACCCTGCCAAAGTGGGTGATGTTACATCCATCCCAGACTCACTGTTCCCCTCTGTTGCAGACACATGCACAGATTATTTTCTGTTTATTTATCCTCAGTATTTTCATGCTCAGATATTCCCTCAGTTTAATAATCCTGTGGTCATTCCCTCTCTGCTGCTCTCCACAGTTTCTTGGTGCTCCAACTGAAAAGGTTTAACTTCACTGAGTCCTATGAGCTTGTGAAATGTCACGACCCCGTGGACCTCACCAGGGAACTTATAGTGACATCTAGCCAGGTAAGAAATTTATGCGCCAGAGTGTAAGAGTGTAGAAGTGCGTGTGTGTGTGTGTGTGTGTGTGCTTCTTGTCTCTAACAGTTGTTCTGTGTGTTTGCTCTCAGGCTAAGAGCTGGTACAGTCTGGTTAGTGTCATCAGTCATTTAGGCAGCGAAGGGAACGCAGGTAAAACATTCACTCAGTGAGGGTCAGATCAGCCAGTGCAGTCTTCTGTTAGGTCCTCAGATCCATAACAGATAGATAAATGCCAATCAAAGGCTGGAGTCTTTCAAGTCTCAGGAATATCAAATTAACATTAGCCTTCAAACCATGTCTTTGTAAGAAAGATAAAACATTATGAAGTTGTTGAATTGGTTCAGCAAAAGGTACAGCCCACTCTTGGATCTTGGTAACATTTTCCATCATTTTACTTTCAAAGAACTGCTGAACTTATAAAAATGTTTGAAGAATTTTGTTAAAACCAATTTTTATGATTTATAATCACATATTTTGTAGGCTAAAGCACCAGAATTAGTACTTCATACAACACTCTAAACCAGTGTTGTGTGAAGTACTAAACAAATATACTTGAGTTGAAGTATAGTTACCTTACCAGAAAATGACTCAAGTCAAAGCGAAAGTCTCCCATGAGAATTCTACTGAAGTCCAAGTCTTGAAGTTTATCACATTCTTTCCACTTAAGTATCAAAAGTACTCAAGCAAATGTACCCCAAGTAAAAGTAAAAAGTCAACGTCAAAGTACAAACATATTTTTATTTTTTGCAAAAGCCACTTATGCCCAAATAAGCACACATTTCAGGTAGATGCAAGCAACAGCTTAGAAAAATTAATGGGAGGGAGGGACAGACCCCTGGTTACAGCACTGATCAGGAGAAACAATAGTGCATCCTCCAACAAAGAACTTAGGCTGACAATTTAACACAATGAGAACCGTCAAAAAAGCCACTGGACATTTAGGTGGGCATGTCAGCAGCCTGCAAGCAGCTGCGGACGTGCCCAGGCTTGAGTGACCGATTGATAATGATCAAGTGCAATGCAAATCAACAATAGGTAAAAGGGAAAAAAAGGTTTTTCCCTTTACCTGCTGTCATAGTAACAAAGTAAAAAAAGTAGTAGTGAAGATGCTTCTGTGAAATGTAGTGGAGTAAAAGTAAAAGTCACGGACACAAAAAACCTCTAGTAAAATACAGACACAAAATTATACTCACGTACTGCACTTAAGTAATGCTACGTACTTACTGTACAACACTGTTCTAGACTTTGCAGTTCATTGTATTAAAAATTCAGAGAGCCTACTAACTGTTAAAGTTTATGAAATGACACAAGGCAGAACAACTTTTGATGGTGAGATCACTTGATTTACTCTTTGACAGCTGAGATCCCAGAGTCTGCTGTGTCTGCAGACATGGGGTCACTCTCCAGATTTGTCTTTAAGCCATCATGCAGCTGTAGCGATTTTAAATTCAAAATAAATGTCGAAAATTAATCAAATTAAATTATGACATTTATGCACTCGTTGAAGGGGCACCACCCACCTTTCTGGTGGGAAAAAGGACGAAACAAAGTTCAATTGAGTAATTAAACGTTGGATCAGTCTTACACAGATTTAAATCAGTCTCTCATCTGAGGCCGGAATTCTTCATTCAGGGACTACTTTCTGAAAGACCACTAAGACGACAACTTAGAATTAAATGGACAATTTATTAACAAGCTATATGATAACAAAACGTCAATAAATGATGATCAAATAATGAGCAAATCAAAGCACATCTAATGAATAAACGAAGGAATAGTTTAAGTTAAACCTAAGACTGGAGGTTAATAATAGTGAGTGAATAAGGGGAAATTTAACCTACGTTAACGGAGTTACGAGGGTAAATAAAAGGAATTTGGAGAACTAAACTATAACTTATAAGAGTAAGCTACTGAACGGTTGACGGCATCACCCAGTTCTCAACACAGCAGTTTAGAGGATTTAGCCTACTTTGGACGTCGGTTCTCAGCGGCACCCTTGGAATGGATCAGCTGAAGTTCTGTGGCTACCGGACCGGATACTGAAGGTTCGGCGGGGAGTTCTTCCGCCGTGTCTAGATCTCAGCTTCAGGACCGTGTCAGCGCCGTTAGATACTTCGGATCTCTGGGCCTCTCGGAACCAGGTGGCAAAGCAGCTTGGCAGATGATGCTGGTCGGCGTTCAGGACTTGCTTGGTTGCAGATTAATTCGCGCCGATAACTTAAGAAAATAATTTCGCTGGCCAGCCGATATTATCTTCAGGAGTCACTTTAGCGAACAAAAATAAAAAGACTTAGACTGAGGTTCTCTTATGCGCGCAGCTTGTTACTGAGGCTCTAAAGGACTTGGGAATGCTTTCATCCAAGTTTAGAATAAAAATCTGAGCTTAAGGCACTTAATAAAAACGCGGGGAAAAATTGCGAACGATAGACGAAGAGAAAAACGAAGAAGAAACGAAACAAGAGAGAACTAAACACAGACGAGACAAAAACGGAAGAGAAAAAAACTGAAGAGTAAAAACAGAAGAGTAAAAACAGAAGAGCGAGCAAAGACTCCCGGGCTCTTTTAAACCATCCCGTGTGGGCGTGAGCCAAGAGGAAAGTTACAGCCAATGCTGTAACCCGATGCAGCACATCGACTGGCAGCGAATTTAACTCAACTTGATATTAAAAGCGAGCTAGATCTAATTTACTCACTCACTATGATTAAACTGTTTGTAACATCACATACGATCACATTTCACTTCATTGTTTCTTATGAGCAGACGCATTAAAGCATGACATTGAAAACAGTAAACTTTGATCAGCCGTCTTCTTGACACTAACAGAGGATTAACGACTTTTAAAAGTTAGAGAGGGACAGAAAACAAATTATCTATTCGAACAGAAACACCATCCAGCATAAGAAACACATACGTAATAATATTTGACAACATTATAACCTTGTCAATCAAGCTTCCTAGATGATTAATATATATTTTTGTGTGAGGTAGATAAAACATAGTATGGATACATTCCGAAACTCTTAACTTGAGTCTAAACGAGTTTCACGTTACTACTTCTAAACTACTAGCCTATCTTGGGAATACCATTTACTAAGCTACGAAGTGTATAACAAAAGGAAAGAAATACACGTGATTAGATTCCTGCCATTTGGCTCTGATCAAACCATATTCAGGCATCACCACTAGGAGGAGCTCTTGGTCCATGGAAAACCTGGAATAAATTTGTGAAGTTAACAGTTTGGCTTGTGGATATGTTACAGAATTGGGAAAAAGACCATTTCATTAAGAATGTGGTGTACAGACAGAAAATTCTGGTGAAGTGTCCATTAAACATGAAGTTAAACCATTTTCAGGCATCCTCTTCCTTCTGCTCTGTAAAGAAAGCCAAGGAATTTATGGCAGGTATCTGGTTTTTCAGATTTGGCGCCAACTGGCTTGTTTTCCCTTTTAGGTCATTGGGTTAATCCTGAAGTGTCAATTCTGATCTTTCCCAGCCAGGGTGAGAGACTCCGTGTTTATGGGTCTGTGTGGTTGATAAGCAACTTGTCCTTTTTGGGAAGCGTTAAAGATTCACTATCACCTCCCAAATGGTTGCCTGGGTCGTAAATGGGAACTTGGTGTGCAAACCGTTTCTCCCCCATTTCCTGTCCAAACCAGGGGAGCCTGCATTCCTTTGAGGGGTGAATTCAAGGTGGATAGCAGAAAGCAGTTGTCTCATTACACAGCGTTACCTTGAATGTTCAGAGAAAATACTGAGACATCTGAGAAAATCTGTGTGATCAGTTTTACAAGAGAATAACCTTTTGACATTAAGCCAGGTTGTAAAGTTCCCTCTACTCTTGTTCTTTAGTCAAACCTGCTCTGTCTGCAGCTCAAGTTATGGTCCACTACTGCCCCCTGTGGCCGACTGCATTAATACCTAATTGTTTTCTCACAGTAATGGATCATTTTTATTCCATGACTGTCTTTACATCAACACATAAAACAAACAAATATAAAATCACAAAAGACTCACATGTTTATGGCTATAATTCTGTTCAGCTGGGTTTATTCAGTAATCTTGTCTGAAATTTGCTCCAACATTTGATGCAAACTCTTCTTCCTCTCCTGTTAGGACACTACATCAGCAGCGGGCTGCACCCTGATATGGATCCTGAGACTGCGGGTGATCTTTGGCTAAATTATAATGACTCCGAGGTCACCCGTATGACAAGAGAGAATGTGTGCCAAAGTTTGGAGGAGTCAGCATATCTCCTCTTTTATCAGAAGATGGTGAGAAAAATACGCACATGTTAAGCAAACACAGATTATAATTAATTAAGCTGAATTCTCCACAAACACAGGTTATTAACTGTCTTTATGTCTGTTTTAGGTATAAACAAGCCTGGTGGTTGGGAGCCAGAGCGGACCTGTGATGACACTTGTGGCCTATATCCTAACCTTATACTTGTGGGCAGAGCGGACCTGTGATGACACTTGTGGCCTATATCCTAACCTTATACTTGTGGGTACGGCGGACCTGTACCCACAAGTATAAGGTTAGGATATAGGCCACACGTGTCCATCCATGCAAGGTGAATTCGCTCCATTTGGACATCTCTGACACGATTCACCCCCCATATCTTGGCATGATGGCGTCATCCTTGGCACAATACACGCCCCTAAAAAACATCAGCATTTGATGATTGTGATCACAAAAACACAGAGACAACTGGACCGTTCATAAACTGTACAGCAGTGAGTTGATAAATATTCATTAATCTGAACCAGCCTAAAATAACTAGTTTTCAGTTTCGTGTTTCCTGGTTTTAAAGCTGTGTTGTGACAGTCCTACGTAACTGTTGCAGTGATATAAATGAAAACTCTGCTCTCTCTACAGGACATGTTACTGTCGTGCATGACAGCTTTCTGCATCTTATTCGGCGAGAAAAACACTACAGCCAGAACTACATAGAAGAGAACTGATGGGCTGTCCCCACACAGTTGCGGACACTATATCTGCAAGACACACCCCAATAAGCAAACGATGTACCAACATCCTATTGTCATCAAATCGGCATCGGGTGGAGTTACAATTTTGATTCATCCCATTTAAAGTTAAAAAAACTACCAGGGGTGATGAAGAACATGAGCTGTTGTTTCTGGTGGCCCCTGTCTCTCTCTCACCCTCGTTCTCTACTCTCTCTCCCTCCCCCTCCCTCTCCGTACTCATTCTCTCTCGCCTTCCCTTATCTTGTTCTCTCTCTCTCCCCCTGCCATCTCCTAGCCTGGCTGAGCCATCCTGTTGCGTGAGTCACTTGACGTTCCTTCCCACAACAGTCTGGACTTCGGCCCATAGGGAGCCCTGAAAGTGGGCGGAAGAACGTTCCTTGATAGACAGTTTACTGTAACCAATCACCGTAACCAAACATCTGACGTCATCACAGTGCGCAGTTGTGTTCCTGCTGGGCTTTTGACCGTCAAGTAAACGTTTGGTAAGATTGCGAGCAAACAATGTCTTTTACGTCTTCGTCTGCGGATATAAACGATTTCTGCCGACTTCGCAAAGTGAACTGCAGAATTAACGGCGTTCTGAAAAGTCCCGCAGCATCTATTAGACGTCACCACTACACATGGACCAATCAGGGGCTGCCTCTCCATGTTGTCCGGGTAAGAGTGGAAACACGGTCTCTGATTGGCCCGGTTATTTTCTGATTGGGCATACACGCTCTCTATGGGCCGAAGTCCAGACTGTTGTGGGAAGGAACGTCAAGTGACTCACGCAACAGGATGGCCCAGCCAGGCTAGCCATCTCCCCTTTCCCCTCTTCTCTCTTCTCCTCTCTCTCTCCTCTCTCTCCCTCCATCTCTCTACATTCCTCCCCAACCCAGCAGCGGCATGGTGGCTGTCTAACATGAGTCTGGTCCTGCCCAAGGTTTCTGCCTGTTAAAAGGAAGTTTTTCCTTGCCACTGTTACTCATGTTAGTTGAGATGGGCCAAAACCCATCTTAGGTTGGTTCTTGATCATCAAACAATGAGCGTGGTCCAGACCTGCTCTTGCTCTTTGAAAAGCGTCTTGAGATGACGACTGTTGTGAATTGGCACTATATAAATAAAATTTGATTGATTGGTTTGAAAAACAGTCATACAGTTGCCGATGTTGTGCTTAAAGGTGCTGCCAGAGAGAGCAAGTATCAAAGAGGAAGAAAAGAAAATTACAGAGATTACACTGTTTACTGCAGTGTAGTTTAGTTAAAAGAAATCTTTAACTCAACACATTTTGGGTTTCTCTCGGCTTCATCCTGTCACACTTGATTCAGTCCTCATATCACGTGATCTACCATCAGCCTGAAGCGCCGGACACAATGTCCGCTGTTCATCGAGGCTCCTAAGATATATATAAATGATCAACGATCAAAGTTAATAAAATGTCTTTTGAACTTAAATCTTATTGTTTGTATTATTTGTGTTAATATAGTCTTTTGGTCATGTAAATGTTTTTGAATTTAGTCTCCAACAATAATCATAAAGGTGAGGCACACATTCAATCAATCAAACCTCATTTTTAAAGCACTTAAATGAGCTAAATGAAATTTTTTTGTTAACTATATAAAACAAGAACTTTTTTCTCCCCGGAAATGTTTTAGTTAATTCTGAGATATAATTCTTGTTAGTTCAGGAAACAAGAGCAGTTTTATCCTCAAATAAATGCAGTACGCCTCTGTGTTGAAGAACTCTACATTTCTGTCAAACATTAATCTCAAATATACCTCAAGGTAGGTTAAAAAAAATGTTAAAAATAACTTTTACTGCATTAACCAGGTAAAAAGTTGAGATATTATGGTGTTTCCGGGTTAAAATTGTGTAATTTCCTGTGGTTTTAGTCAACATCTGGCGCCGTTTGACAGTGCAGTCTCTGAAATGGGACACAGCCACAGTGTAAGGTACTGTCAAAAATTTTGAGATGGACTGTTAATTTAGATTTCCTCCATCTCCTTTCAGCACTCCTGCAATTACGTTTGAGTTGTTTCAGACTTCCTGCAACCTTTTAGGTCCTGCTTCGAAAAATACAATGTAACAGTTTTCAACTTTTATTGAAACCACTTCCTTTTATCACCGCGAGTTTCATTTCAAGCTGTTCATTTCGAGGGAGAGGGACCATAATAATTTTTCAAGATTAAAGGTGTTTTATAAATACTAAATACGAAAACAGAGGCCATTACATATAGATGTCGGCTACAGCAATATATACAGTTCGTTCAAGAACCTTAAGTTACATTATAGTATGAAAAACACTTATTTGGCTCTGAATCAGCTATTCTTTCAAATAAATAATTATTAGGAAAACAAAGCACAGGAACTACATACAAATGCACCTTTATTACACGTTGACTGACCCAACTGGGAAAACAAGTAATTTGTTTAAGTATTTTTTAAAAGGCTAAGTTTCTATTTTGTTACAGTGGGAATAAAGATATAGGCCAGAATAACTGATAAACATTAGGATGGAAAAAAACTATGCCTTGTAAAAATATATAATCTTGTTGCATTGTAATACAAAACACAAATTAAACATTTACACAAATATCAAAGAATGATTTAACCTTTATTGGTGATAAATGATTGATTTCATGATTTATTTTAGTGTTTTTTATCATTCTCTGGTTAAAAACAGCCTGTTGGCTTACATCATCTTATAAAAACACATGCAACATATGAGGCTTTACAAATTATTCATAAACAAGACAGTTTTCACATATATAATTTTAAATGTTTAAGTTTTAGTTTTACTAAATTGATTGAGCTTATTTTCACATGAAATGCACCAATAGGCCCCCATTGCAAATGCTGGCTGCACTGATTTCCTGTTGGGGGCTACCAAGACTGACTTTGGTATTCTTAAAACTTTGCTTTATTTCACATGAAAACTGTCCATGAATATTCACTCAAAATTTCATGATATTTTGACTTTGATTCCTTGTGATACATGTCACAGAGCAGATGCTGTCCCTTTTTAAAGAGGCTTTAATTTTCACTCACTTTTTATCTAAAAGAAAAAAAAAACATCAAAAAACAAAATTTTGCAGCAAACAATTTTAAAATAACCATCCATTTTAAAAAGTAGACATCTTGGAGTAATAAAAAACATTGGTATGCCCTGTTGAACATTATATGATATTGTTAAGTTGAACCCCATTTTTTGTTGGTTTTCTTTTGCTCTACAAAACATTTAAACATTTCAGTCTCAAACATTTGTCTGAGATAACTCCTGTGTGAAAGGTGATATTAAAATGTTCATCAGATTCAACCCTTAGAGGTGGATGTGGAAGTATTTGTGTAGTATTCCACGCAGTACTCCAATAAAAGCCAGCAAAGAAAGTAGGGCAAATACAGCCAGAGTCAGGTAAAAACCAGGTAACCTGCAAACCAGAGAAAGCAGACAATATTTGACTCTCATAAAGTACAGTTTTTTTTTTACTGTCATGGAGAGCTTAATTAAAATTGGTATCAAGTATTCTTATTTTTAAAAAAAGCAAAGTTTTAAAATGAACCTTTTTTTGCTGGATTTGACATATCCATTGAAGTAAATGTGTCGGGCGATCATATATACCAGTCCTCCTACAGCTGCTGTCACCTCGCCGAAGAACATGCCACAGGTCCACATGGTGACCAGGAACAGAGGGTAAAACTCCACACAATTCTGACTGCAACAAACACATATACACATCCATATTCAAGACAAGCATCAACCACAGGTCCTGAGAAATAAAGACAGTTCCAGTGTGCTAAGAACTGCAGTTCCACAAGTGTCCACTAGAGGCTGGCTGCAAAAGCACAAGGAGCCCTGTACACACCTACTCTTAAAAGCTCATCTTTACAGCAGAAACTACAGCCTGATGTTGAAAAAGTTCTGGTCTGAAAATGTCATTTCTCTATCCACACATACTGAACAACAAGGGAATTTACTTAATAACTCAGTAATTTGGAAGTATTATAATAATGAGTCTGAGATTATATCTGTGTTAAAACCACAAATATCTGTGACACTGCTTCAGAAAAGCTGATTGGTGTTCCTTTTCCCTGGACTACAACAAAAAATGACTTTCAGTCAACAATAGACTTTTTGGAAATTGTTTTCCTCTACTCTGGCTGACAGAGCTGCTAAGCTTGACTTTTCACCTCCAATATTGTTATTTTAGCAAACTGAAGACCTGTTGGTTCACAGTAAATAAAAAGAGAACTGGTTGATTTTATAAGTTCCTACCTCAGGGGCTCAGGTTACCTGCTGGTTAGAAACTAAATTCTAAAAAAGATCATCTGAGAAAACACTCACCTGAACAAGAACTGACAGCATAAGGTAAAATTACTGAACAATAAAAGACAGGCCCTAGATGGTTTAATGATTTAAAGATAAAATCTAAATTTGGCCCAACTTTATGACAAACATCTATGTATGTCACTAGAACTTACACCCAGTGCACAAACCCAGAATGAGAACAGATGTAGCTGGGCCTGTGGGTGTTGGGGGATATGCTGTCTTTGCACTTTTATCAATTAAAAATAGGCTTTGCAAACCAGCAAATACGGTTTATATTCAGCATCCCAACTACTTTGAAGCTGAGGTTGTGTGTTACACTCATCAGTGGACTTATGACATGTCACTTTCAAGAGTCTAGTCTATAAAGTGGTGCTGTATAGGTCTAAAAACAAGACATAGGGCTCTATTTTCATGCTTCGCCGGAGACGTGGCATAGGCGTGGCATAAGTCAGGTCCGCCGCGCCGACAAGGCGTTCCCAAGCACAATTTGGTATTTTGATGAGCGGCGCAGCCCGGCGTAAGTATCCCTCCTCCCAAACTCAGCTCCTCCCAGCGGCGTAAGTCGTAGCGAGGGAGGAGAGAGGGCGTGGAGTGGGTTTAACACAGCTGAGACCTGTATTGACCAATAACATCAGCTCCTCTCCTCGCCTTTAAATCCGCCACCGGCGAGGCGTATTACAATTTTTGTGAAGTAGTCAAAGAGATCAAGAGATGTCAGAAGACAGTAATGCCACACGATGGCGACAGAAGGCAGCTCCTCAACAAGTGTCGCTGTAAACGCTGCAGAGGGCGTCCTCCACACTCTCTCATATGAGCACAGATGGATTTGGTGTGTGTAATGTTGGACCCACTGGTAAGACAAACACCCTTTTCCACAAATAAAGACACTCACATAAAGTTGCACATATTCAAACCTCACGTGACAAAGGTGGGTTGTGCGCACAGATCACAACATAAATTCCAATAATGGCATCCAAATCTGAACCATCTGTTCGTAAATGACACATCACGCTCCGTGGCCTGGCTCTTTCTTTCATAGATGAAATAAATTTGGCTCACAAAACTGAATAATATAATATTCGTATGTAGGCTAAAAGTAAATAAATCATCTGATCACTGAAACAAATCATCTGTTCAGCCGCTGCAGCAGGACGGGGAGAGGACACAGAGACATGTCCAGGTCGAGCTGCGCGAGAAATAAGAGGAAGAGAAAGAAAGAAAAGGAGGGAGATGAATTACATATCTTGTTAACTTCATCATGTGTGTTTATTTACTAGATATTTAATTTAATTTAATGTGGTTTCAGCTGTGTTATTTCGGTCAGGTTGAGTGTCCAAACGCGTGCCAAACGCGCTCATCAGATCAGATATAGATCAGAATATATCTATATAGATCTTAACGTATTTGCTGACTCAGATTATTAGTTGTTGTTGATTATTTATTGCACTGAAATGTGCTTGACACTGTGGAAACCTGCCGGTGAGGCATCGGTGACGTATGCTGATACGCCGCCGGTCTTCCAAAATACCACTAGACCAGCTGCGCTCCGCCTGCACTGAAAGCTGACCAGGTTTGAATCGGCGAGCTTTCAGCGCACTTTACATGCCAACAGTGAGCACGAAAATGTCCCTGCGCCAGCTGATTCTGTGGACACCTCCCCCTGCGACACCAACACGCCCAGCTTGGTGGACCTTGGTGTGCCTCGGTCCACGAAAATACTAAACTAGCTGTATGCCGGGCTCCACCAGACGAAAATACCACTGCGCGGAGTCTGCCACCCTCTGCCGTGTCGCCGGCGGACGCGAAAATAGAGCCCATAGTCCTCTCACTGTGCTCTGAATGTCCTCTCAAACTCTGGAGGTCCACTGACAGAGGGAGGCAGGACTTTGTGAGCCATCCTGGCCCAACCAACCCGCCGGGCCAGGTATCCTGCAAGGAGACAGAAATGAGAAGACATCAAAAAGAGGTGAAGAAAATGTTTACTGAAATTTATGTTTAAAAAAGGTATTCAACTTTCATTTCAATGTTTATTTTGTTACATCCGGGCCATGATGCTCAGCTTTATTTTCACTCTACACCCAAAGTGATTCCCTCATCATGGACTACAACTGTATTCTTGATTATATGAGTCTTATTGTAAAATACTAATCTCTTATCTTCTTCATCTCAGCAATTTAGACCATCACAAAAGGACCAAATGATGTCTTTTCATTAAAACATTTCATTGTTGAGTTAATTTTTTTCCTCACTTCACTCCCAGAGGCATTGACATGTGCGATCATTGGTAATGGTTGCATACAAAGGTGAACTGACTTAGCAGTTTTAACTTAATCAAAGATATTTTCACAGTTTTGCGTCATGAAAAACAAAAGAGGATCTTGTGTTTCAGCTTTTAGAACTTTCATTTTGACTTCTAACCCTAACCCTTTATTTTAAGTACCAGTCAACTTGTTGACATTTTGATTTAACTCTTAATATTTCAAGTAAACACTTACATAATACCCAGCTGTATTAAATACTTGATTCTAATTCATCAACCCAATAACAATAATTACATTTCAAGCACAGAAGCCAACATGAGAGGCAACATGATCACATACATCCTATTGAATTAACCCTCTGAGAGGATTCCTGCACCATTTCAAGCATTAACTTCAATGGAATTGTTCAGTTTACTATGAGTTAGAACAAATAAACAAAATAATAATTTAACTCGGCCTTTTATTAACATCAATGTGGATAGGCTAATCAAAATTTGATGACATGAGGTGTTTCTGACTGTTGAGTCAGAGTAACTATTTTTTCTTTGACTTTAAGTGTGGAGCTATGCATGTCTTTAGTTGGTAACTGGTTGATGATAGTTCAACCCATCCTGTCAGGATCCCCAACCACCTGTTTGCCACACACATTATGCCTACATGGACATTATTTTCTCACAGTTTTTGGTTTTCATAATCTCAGTATTTAGACTCTACATTCTAATTGCTTTATTTTTTTTATTCTAGATGTGCTTGACAACATTTTTGTGACACTTGCATACTGTTTTCAACATTTAAACTTTGTTCCCTAGTTTTAACATTATTATTGACAAACCAACACATGTGACTCAACTCTAAACATCCCTCGGCATCACTTCTACCTTTCATTTGTTCAAAGTGCCGGCCCTGAAGCTCTTTGGTAATATTGATCTACTGTATATCCCCAGAGGATGAGCAGGTTTCAGTCGCTCAACCTGTACACTTTAACTTTAAAAAGGGAAAGTTCATCCTTACTAATCCTATCACAGATCCACTGAATCTGAGCATAAATGGAAGAAGAACACCGCTAAACAATCCTATTTTTCTTCACTTGTCTGACAGTTCCTACGTCAATTTCAACCAGAAAACCCTCCTACCGGTTCAGGAGTATAAAAAGCTTTCAATATAAATCTTACATCTTAAATAAGCCTCAGTAGATGTGCTAACATGTTCAGCTTACCCATTTGCAGGGCTGACAGGAGGGAGACCCCAGCCAGCAGAAAAGGGGAGTCGGAGACCATCGCTCTGCTGAAAACAAAACTCCCTGCACAGTTTGCCTCGAGTATAATGTCAGCTTTACATAACAGGAAGGAGGGACTTCCTGAGGTGAAGCTTCAGCTTTAGCACACCCCTTTAACAAGTATTGTCATGCTGTGTTATTAGAGCCCTGCCCTGCTGATGAGCAAAGGAGAGACGAGACAAAGAGAAAGTTCTAATCAAATAAATGACAGTTTCTGTAACTGACTGGCAACACGAGAAAGAGCAAAACCACATTTCTGCCTTCAGAAGATTCCCTCTCACTGCAATGCCCCCCATCCTCTCTGAATTTTCTTGATAGCTGTATGTATGTAAGTTAGTTTCAATAGTTATTCATGTGAAATGTATATTGTGTGCACTTCACAGTTCAAATACCCACAAGATAAAGGTAGTACAGCAGAAAAATTACCAAATACAACAGTATGGGAGAAAACTCTGTTGTAGATGTCTGCAACAGACATAAATGCCATGTCATTTTTTTTGACGCTATGAAATAAACAAAATCTGTATCTGCTGACCTGTGAATAAGTAAAGTCAACAGTATCATGGCTGTGATGGAGGGCAGAGCAGAGGCACACTAAGGAAAAAGAAGAGGAGTCACTTTTGCTGCACACAAACCACATACATCTTTCTGCACATTAGTGCAGAGGTGTCAACATGTTTGTAAGGAAAATATATTTTTATTTAGCTCTTGAGCCTTTCCCAAAAAACACATTTTATGGTTTCCAAATTTTACTGTCATCCAAAATATTTTGGTGTACATGTGAAATATTTTGTATCTTATTAAATGAATTTTGTTGTAAAAATATTTTTGTATTCCATAAAATGTTTAATAAAGAGGCTCCTCACTCTGATAGACTGCAGTGACAAAAGGTCCATCAAGTTTAGAAAAATGTTTCTCAAAAACAGAGAATTTTAATAGTACATACACTTAAAAGATTCAAGGACAAAGCGATTACATCAGTGCTGTTTCCTGCTCCCTTTCCTTCTTTGTCCTATATTATGTCAGCACCCAAGCTGTAACAAAAACTAAAAACCAGTACTGCATGACCATGAACCACAAACCCTCAGGCGGATCGTTATTGAGAAAAAAAAGAAAAAAAAAAAGCACGACTCTGCAGGAGAAATCATTGCATGTGTTTAAAATCACTTCTAAAAACTACCATCTGATAACTCCATCTGCAAATGCAGGTGAAATCCCTCACTTACTAAGAAGAAATCTTACATGAACATGATCCAGACATGCTGATGACGTCAGTGGGATGGGCTGTAGGCTGATGAACCGAATCTGACATTCTCTTTGAAAATCATAGACACCATGCCCTCTACTCCATAGAAGAAAATAACCAACCAACTTGTTGTCCCTGCAGAGTTCAAATCCAGCATCCCTGATGGTATGAAGATCATCAGAGTCCATGTCATGGGTATCTTGCAGATCTGTGAAGGCTCCATTAATGCTGAACAATATCCACAGGTTTAGGAGCAACATCTGCTGACATCCAGACAAAGACTTTTTCAGGGAAGACCTTCATATTCTCATATTTCAGCGAGACAATGGCAAACCACAATTTGCGGGGATTACAACAGCATGGCTCTGTAGAGGAAGAGTCCTGCTGATAAACTGGCCTGTCTGCAGTCCTGAATTATCACCATTAACCCTCCTGTTGTCCTTAAGTTAAGACCTACATCCCATGCCTCAGGGGTCATTCTGTCCCACTCCACACTGACTGGGGTCTATTTGACCCAGTAGGAAATATAACCGGGAATTTAAAACATCTGGCATATCATAAGTAAGGATACACAGAGGACACCCTGAACTGCTGACGATCTGAAGTTCTATATCAGTGAAGAATGAGACAACATTTCACTTTCAAATCCCAGAAACAGGTTTCTAAGCATTCCCAAACATCTGCTGAGTGCTATTTACATAAGAGGTGATGTAACACCTAAGCACTGTTTTCAGTTAAGTAGGGAACCGTGTGTTTGCAAACCATCACATTCTGTTTCGATCATCATTTTAGTGTCACAACATTTTTAGGGGGATTGGGGTTGTTTTTGAAGTTGAAAACTTTCTTATTCTCATTGAATTTTTGGGAATACAGGCTCATATCAACTTTTACATGTATGCTGCTAAATACAAACATGTTTCCCTAGCTGGGGGCTGTTTTTATTCAGCTAGGTGACTTTGTCTTCTGTTTCAGTCACATTTTGCCAACTTTATTGATTGCTTCCTGGTTTTCGAGAAGTTTTTGTGTCATGATGGGTGACTTGCACTGCTAATTAACCTAATTCTTCTCTTATCTCTTTACTTCACAGTGTACAGCCCATTAAATGATTTTATGATTCCTTTATGATCCATTTAAGCCTCTGTAATTTCACAGATCTAAGATTAAACTGATAGGCTATCTTCAGTCTTAGGAATAAAGTGATGAACTTAACGTTCAAATGTGAAAAATAATGCATAATAAGACTTTTTTTCCCCCCATCATGCTCAGTCTTTAAATGGCGTTAACTCTAGCAAGTCTTGTCAGCTGTCATCAGCACGATGACGCCTCGTGGGTGACAGGGGGAGCATTGGGCGCTGAGGTGTGTCCGTTCGGCAGCCTCGTGCAGCATGGACAGCGATGACGAGAACTTAGAGGAGGTCGTGGAAGGTAAACAACACCTTTCTGTAGTTCTGTGTCCAGTAGACACACAAAATAGGCTATCTGCTGCGACTAATCTCTGCGGTTATAAATTCCACTCTAAATCTCCACGGTTCAGTCTGTCGGAAGGCCCGCGCGGTAACTCCAGACGCCCCGGACTTTATTAAGCAGGGAACCCGCTTGGCAGGGGAGCTAGAACGGCCTGAGTGATGTCAGGGTCTCGCTGATGGTCCAGCTGCTGGAAGGCTGTATCTGACCGTCAATGTAGATCAGGACGTGAACGGTTACGTTGGAATTCCTTACGTTCTACTGCGCGTGCGTTCGATTTTTGACAACATTGATCACATTGTGTCCTTTAATGAGGCGTGATTTGTTGATACACTGTATCTACGGTATGTGGTATGTTGATACACTGTATCTATGGACCGACTGAGTGTAACGTGAATTATCTCATTCACTCAGGGCGGGTCAGTAAAATGTTACCAGAAATTAATTAATGTAAGCGTGTCACGTGACAGACTTATGCTTTTTTTTGTGAATGAAACTCCAGCATAAAGGAGGAAAGAAGTTGAAAACGTGTCAGCTCTTATAGCTGGGTCCAGACCCACAAATCTGGGTGGGACTGGACGAACAATGGTGGGTATTAATACTTCACTGACTGGAAGGGAGAGCAAGGGAGCATTTGAAGTTAGAGTCTGACTGTTAAGTATTACTGAATATTCCCACTTATGCACACTATACCTTTAACTTCACGTAATTATGACTCAAAAACAGACAAACAAACAACGAAACTCAGGATGCCTCACCAACCCCCCCAATGGCAGCATGGCCTGTTGTAATGTGGTTTATCAGTGTCTTTTTTATTTGTTTTCTGCACAAAATCTTTCCCATTATCAAAGAAAAATCAGCTTTGAGTCTTTGTAAAAATCAAAAATATATATCAATACCTGTTTGAATACCATAGCAACAAAAAGGAGATGTGTATGCTGTCTGTATGTTCTGATTTCTTACAAATGTTGGTATTTTATGAGCATCAATAACTTTGGCGTGTGAAACTCAATCAGCAATCCACAGGCCAGGACTGATGAAAAATACGAAGGGACATTAGGTGTCGTTCTTGTCTCCCTCCTCTGCTCTCTGTCTGGAACAGACATAAATATAATGTCTGTGTCCGTCTTTGATGCTAAGAGGACAAAAAAATTGTATTTTCCAACCTTTGCATAAGAAAAGTTAGCAGAGTAGTGATTGTGATGGAGGGCAGAGCAGAGACGCACACAGCAGGAAGGTGAGACCTCCGCTGCAAACAGACCTTCCTGCACACATGTGAAAAGGTGTGGACATGTCTTTAAGTGTGAATGGTACAACAGTTAGAAAATATTTTTATGAGTTTTTATTATATTTATTTTGCCACATGATTACCACCAGTATGCTCTGACTTAGCTTGTGTCTGTACAGATCACACTGCTGCTCCATCTTTCACGTTCAGCTCTCACTGATAGGGGGGAAATGATTTGAAAATCATTGTATTCTGTTTTCCACACAATATTTTCCAATGTCATTGGAATTGGGGTTTGTGTGAGCATGGATCTGTTTCATTTTTCATACACAGAACTTTGGTGCTTTGTGATAGTACACAGGCAAGTCACAGCACTACAGCAGACTCACAATTTAAAAGAGAGGGCTTGGTTTGGAAAGCTGGGCGGGTCAGCTGCTTTTTGATCGATGCACTATCAAGACACTATATATGTTACACTATACAAGTATGCCATATCATCAGATTTTTTTGTTTGTTTTGCTCAGGCTGGATATCATTGCAAATGGGGCCTGATAGAGCCAGTGGGCCTGGAATCTGACCCCTGTTTTTAAAGATTTCTTAAGGGAGACAAAGTAAAAAAAAAAAAAAAACAGATACTGCAGCTTTTATAAGAGACAGAGTCCAACGTACTCTATTTCATAAAGTGAGCCAAACAGTATTCAGAGTTTAACAGGGCAGAGGGAGATTACAGAAACAAAGGATGAGAGTCTGTAGACTGACAACTGAGAGGAGGCGAGAACACACTTAGTCAGATCAAACCATTTGAGCTCTGTGTGTTGTTGTGTCTGTGTAACTGGTGTCTGTGTGCACATTCAGGCCCACTGGATGAGGACGGTCAGCCTCATGGGTTCTGCACAGTGACATACTCCTCCAGCGATCGTTTTGAAGGACACTTCACCCACGGAGAGAAGAATGGAAAAGGCAAATTCTTCTTCTTTGATGGAAGGTACGGTGAAGGAAACACAATAAATAAAGGCACAAACCCTAGATAAACTGACATGATTTCTCATCATTTGATAGTTTGCACAAATGTTTGAACTTTGTGCAAAAAAATACAGAACGTGTTGATCAAACTGGAGAAATGTATTTCTTTTGGTAAATTAAGTGCTTACTTAGAGATTTTAGCTGGCAATATATTTAGAAAAAAGATGAACAAGGACAACAAAAGACTTAAGTCTTGTTGTGCTAAAGGAAAACAACTTGTGGATTATATCACAATCTAGTACCGTAATGTTAATTTGCAACAAAGAGATCAATCTAGAGAGGCTGAGTCTCTAAGAAGTCAAAATTGCATCATTCTGTGAGCGACTGCGAGCAAATATTTCAATAATATCAGAATAATGTTGCTCAGTCAGCTCATTGAAAGATTCAGAGAACCTCAAACATGGGGTCACTACATTGATAACAGAAGTGACTCTGTAGTGGAAATCACTGCATGAGCTCAGAATCACCTCAGAAAACTGTTGTGTATGTAAACACATGTTTTGCTGCATCTGCAAAGCAGGTTAAAACTGCACCATGCAAAATGGACACCACAGGTAAATGTGATCCAGAAATGCTACTGCCTTTTCTTGGTCCAAGCACATTTAAGGTGGACTGAGTGAAGTGGAAAACTGCTCTATTAAAACTGGACTCTTTTCTTAAGAAAAATAAATAAATAAAGTTAAGGATAGTCTCAAAAGGAGAGGCTGCTGAAGATTGTATTCAGGTTTATAGGCATATTCTATTAGTCTATAGGAGAAACTATCTTAAAACTTTACTCTGTTTCACCACCTCAGGCTCAACCTATTACTACAGTACTGTAGTGCCAAAGGTAGATAGGATAATAGCTGTTATTTTTAATAGCTGCTCTTCCTGTGTGTGTGTGTTTCTCTGCAGCACCCTGGAGGGTTTCTATGTTGACGATGCTCTGCAGGGTCAGGGGGTGTACACGTATGAGGAGGGTGGTGTCCTCCAGGGGACATACGCGGACGGCGAGCTGAATGGACCTGCTCAGGAGTTTGATGGGGAGGGCCGCTTGGTGTTTAAGGGCCAGTACAAAGACAACAACCGCTGTGGGGAGTGTCGGGTTTACTACCCTGTGAGTTCACTCAGCACTGCAACACAACAACATCTGTGTTTAACACATTCAGCGGGAGGCCTCTGTCCTTCAATGTCACTAACCGGGTGTCAATGAAAGACAATTCTGTGAAGCTGTGCCAGGTAACAAACTGTATAAGAATGGAATATGATGATGGATAGCCACGGATGTTTGAAATCTGGGGGGATATTTTGAGGCAAAGCTACACATTTGATAACTTATAGCTTCAAGACAACAGTTAAAACTATAATTCAACACTTTCTAGCCAACATTACCAGTTGATAATGTCACACAAAAGGCTATGCCAAAAAAAAAAATCCTAGCTAACCATACAAAAGAGCTAACGTTTTGCCAAAGACAAATCTGAAAGTGTTGCATGATGTGATAGGAAAGTGTAAGTTCATTGTCAACATTTTTGTTAGCTAGAAATTAGCTTGAATGCTCACGTTGGACAAACAGTTTCAACTTGAAATATGACTCGATTTCACACCAGATTTTCACCCTCCACTGTTAATCAGCATGTGAGAATTTCAACAATTACCCAGATACTTATTTGATTCCATAACAAATCTGAAACACAACTGTACAACATTATTAGAATCACATACTCCCTCGTCACGCTCTGCTTCCTACCTGTGGAGCTCTCTGTTAAAGACTATGAGGTGAGCTCATCACAGTAAAAAACTGAAAAGAAAACCCTGCAGGACTATCCAATCATTGCTGTTGTGCACTGAAAACATGCAGCCCAATGTTGGCAAGGGATCAAATACAAGCAACAGTGTTATACTGAGTGTATTTTCAGAAACTTCCTTGAAATAGTAAGAAGAAGAAAAAGAACTTTAGTGATCCCTGAAGAGAAATTCAGTAAATACATAGATATAAATTTTTCAATGCACTGCATTTTGTCTTGCCTGTATTATACCATCATACATTATACCATCAAAATATCCTGTCTTTGGTGAAAACTGCACCATATACACGTTCTTAGGGATGCACTCCACTGTTTCCAATTTGCCTTTGCACAGAATGGCATGATGATATAATGTTAGTGAGTAAAAGGACATCACACAAATTTTCACAATCCATTACTATGAGTACGCCATCTAAAGTAAATGGTTATTGTCTTGGTCTTGCTCATCCTGATTTGCATCATCACTTCACAATATTTTGCTTTTTATCTGGCAACCAATAAAAGATATAAACAGGTTCTCACAAAATGTTGATTTTATAGTGTAGTAAAAAGTGAGACGTGTGAAATTTGGGACACAAACTTTAAAAGTCCACCTTATTTGAGTTCCAGCATTATTCAGGCCTCTAGTCAATCACAATATGTTGAACCTGCCTTTGTTAAACCATGTAAACCATGGGTTAACAACAGAGGAAACAGATCAAAAGCGAAAGATAACCTTTGTTGACAGTGTGTGTTGTGCATGTTGGTGTGTACTGTGGTGAGTCCAGGATGGAGGCTGTGTGTTTGGGGAGGTAAATGAAGATGGCGAGTTGACCGGTGAATCTGTGGCATACATCTACCCTGACGGACTCACGGCATTGCACGGGAACTTTGTGGACGGAGAGCTGATCGAGGCTCGCTGTGCCACCCTGATCCCCAATCAGAGTGGAAGGCAACGCTTTGAAATCACACCCAACAGTAAGTCACCGTGTCTCAAATCAGAAAATTAATAAAGCTTTAAAATCGTTTTGAATTGTGTTAACATAATTATGTTACGTTACTTTGTCTTCAGGCCCGGTTTACTCATACGACAAGTCCACGTCCTCCTGTATCGCAACTCACACTCTGCTGCCTGACCCTTATGAGAGCAAAATGTGAGATTTTAAACTAAATTATGTTAGCATGATGTCAAAATCACACATACAGCATCAGGACCAGAATAAAACTTGCAGACTTGAGTGCTCCTCTCCATATTTTCACCATAATGTTTCTGTGCCAGGGTGTTTGTGGCAGACTCCATGATTAAAGGAGCGGGTCAGGGCCTATTTGCCAAGATGGACACTGAGACTAACACCGTGGTGGCCTTTTATAACGGAGTACGAATCACACACTCTGAGGTATGACACACCTGGAAGGCACTACACTTGAAGTGTGCATAAAAAAACAACCATAATCAGGATAAACAAAGAGCTAAAATCATACAACTTGATGCACAAACGATTTAGATATTGTTGAAGTAAGAGAAGCTGAAATGTTTAATGCTGAACAAGTGGAAAAAGGTGAACAGAAGTGGATCATTAAAGAAATATTGAGCATGAAGAAAAGGCTTAAAATGTTAAATACTTCACCATATGGTTAAAATAACGTGTTAATCGTTGAACTGTTAATATTAAAATAATGGATGCCAGTCTTTGGTACCAATTAATAATTAAAATGTTTAGCCAAAATAAAAATAGCTGTTAAAAAAGTTTGCATTAATGGTAAACAGCTCAAAGTGCTGGCTGAACAGTGAAAAAACAGAGTTAAATGTAACAATTAAAAAAAAAAAAAAAAAAAAAAAAAAAGAGGCTAAGCTATAGATTTGAATGATTGGATTAAATAAATAAATAAGAAGTCAGAGTCAACGAAAATTCTTTAAGTACTGAATCAGAGTTAACATTTGTTAAATCACAGGTGCACATTGTAAAGCAGCACAGACTTGGTAACAATGTAATGACATATCTATATGTATATCTTAATTCGTGTATAATCAACTATATATAAACATTGTTTTGTTTTCATCAACTTTTGGTGAATTTCCACCAGGTGGTTTGGTTTGGTTTGGCACAGTTTGGTATGCGTTGTTATGGTTCAGTATGGTTTATTACAGTGAACCCTGCTCTTGTGTGTCTACAGCCAACTGTACTCTGGCACTTCACTCTGGAGGCATGTTGGCTCTGTCTCACAGGCTGCAAATCAAGACAATAGACGGCTTGCCTATTCTCCTTTGCAAACCACATGCTGATTTCAGCAGAAATATATATATAAATATATATAAATTATATTTATATATAATGGTATTTATATATATATATTCATGATATATAAATAAAAGTGTACAGAATAAAGATATACGCTCTCCTTTTCAACAAGTTGTATTGAATTGGGCTCCAGCCTTTGGGGTTTGGTACCAAGACAAAGGGTTACTGACAGTAGGTTAATACATTATGCTTATTTGGAGATTTTTCCCAACTTTCGGAAACTGATAACTGTGTACCGAACTGGACCGGAAACTAGTTTGGTTCAGAGACCTTTTTGTTTTCAGTGAGTGGCTGCATGACATGGACCGGTCTAGAAGAAGAATGGTTGTTATTTTGCATAAAATGATTTGTACTGATAGACATTTTGATGGTAAAAGTTGTACAAATGAAGCATCTTTGGAGCTTTTTGTCCTTGAAGGCCACCATTGCTTCACAGACAGAGGGGGTGAGCAAGAGAGCATTTCAATCCAGAGTCTGATATTGCTGAATATTTGTTGTCTTTCATTGAAAAGCAGAACAGCTGAAATAGCTTAAAAAATGAACATGAAGAAGAAAATCTGAAGTTCAAATAAAATATAGTCCAAACACCAAGCTTATAATAAAAGTCACAAATCGGTTTAAAATCGTTAACTGTCAGCTTAACTATTAAACTAGCCTAAAATGATGTGATCAGTTTTAATTCGTCAAAGGAAGAGCATTTTTTCTCCACCTTTTACATTCATCTGTAGTTTTTAGATTACTTGTATTGTTTTAACCCTCTTTCTTTTTTTTTTTCTTTTTTCTTCATTGACCATGTGGCGCCCTTAGGTGGACAGCAGGGACTGGTCACTGAACGGAAACACAATCTCACTGGACGAGGACACTGTGATTGACGTCCCGCAGCCGTTTGACCAGATGGACAGATACTGTGCATCTCTTGGCCACAAGGCGAATCACTCCTTCACCCCTAACTGCAAATATGACCCGTGAGTACAAAGAGAGAACAAGACCGCACATTGTAGGACTTGCGAAAGGCTTTTTTTTTTTCTGAATGCCAAAGGTCATCTTTAATTTACTGGTCCAGGATAATCAGTATAGTGGCGAGTGTTTGGTGTGTCTAACAGAATACACTTTGAAAATCCTACATCACCAAAGAAATACATATACAATAATCACAGAAGACTGCACCAACCACAATTCACAAGGAACTTCATGCACTAAATCCACATATGCATGACCTCTCAGATGAAATCACTGGCCAGGTCAGTTTTGTGTTTTTTTTGTAAATTCATGCACGAGCTGCCCATTCTTTACAGTGATGACGTCAGATTTAGAGTGCATGAAATCGTAATGCTCACCTACCACTAAACTGAGGAGAAGACTCTTAACATGTTACCATAGTAACTTACTAAACTAAACTAAACTAAACTAGATTGTCTTTCCAGGATTAATGCCAGTTATATTTAAAGTCAAATACTTGACTTTAGGGATGGTTTTATCAGCGTGATGTGAGTTTTAAGGAGTAATGTTTAATTTAAATACTGACATTTAAATAAGAACTATTAGGGAAATGTGCAGCTCATCATCCAATTATTTGGATGAACATTTGAATAATTGTTAACGATTTCTTACTCTTATTTTATTTGGACCATCAGTTTCAAGACTTACTCTAACCCAACAGCCAGACCCAGACAAGAAGACCATAAAATCTCACCATTTAGTTTCAAACAAATTATCTAAGGCAGAATTCAGTGAAGTTAGGTTTTAGAAAATGGATGTTTTTATTTTGTTTTTGCTGTGGACAGGTTTATCCACCCTCGTTTTGGGCCAATCAAGTGCATCCGAACCCTGCGGCCTGTGCAGAAAGACAAGGAGCTGACTGTTGCTTACGGCTATGATCACGAAGCTACAGGGAAGAACGGCCCTGAGGCCCCTGACTGGTACAAACTGGAGCTGAAGGACTTCCAGCAGAGACAGGCGGCCTCCAGTGGGCATTAAAACACCCCCTTGACTGTGTGACCTCCTTGAAAGACTCCTGCAGCATCATGGCACTTAAACACCCACAGTTTGATCTGAAAGGAGGAAGAACTATGCAACAAGATTAGTTATTTGAGACATTATCCCGACTGGAGGTGCTGCTCTGTCTGTTATGATCACTGTCTTCTTCTTTAAACATGGAAATCTAAATCAAGATTAAATGTTTGGTGCTTATTATTAAGGATATGCTGAGAATCTGTTACAGTTTGAACTTCAGTTACCTCTGTATCAAATGTTTCAACAGTTTTCCCAACAAGGCTCAGTATTTATTTAGATAGCTCAATCTGCACATTTTAAACTTAACAGACCTATTTACCTAATGTAAAGCATGAACTGTTTACCTTACTAATCTATTTATTATATCTGAAGATACTACAGTGCTGCATTAACTGACTGAATATAATAAGTCCTCTAGTTGATATAAGACAGACCTACAGAGCGATTGTTACACTTTTCTAACCATGTTATCTGACATAATATACTGCCAAATAAAGTCATACAGTTGAAAAGCAAATTTATCCATATGTGTTTTTTAATATATTAAAACTGAAGGAGATGTTTGAGTAGTTTGGCTGAAGGACCGTGAGGTGCTGATGTTGCTTTAAGGTAGCCTTGAGTGTTGAGTCTTTTAGAGACCCTTCATACAGAGTGGAGATGTTACAAAGGCACTAACTTCCCCTTCATTTCAACCGAAATTTGACTCACATTAAGATTGAAAACACCAACGGGCAAAATGGAGCCAAACAGGATCACAGAGTCTCAGGTAAACAATGAAGAGCTGGTTTTCGAAGTGTGGTTCATATTAGCAGAACTAGTACTACTTGCCTTTCATTTGACAAGACACAGCCAACTCAAAACTTAATCTTCGTTTTGTAGATCCAAATACTACCAAAAGCGGAAGCACAGCAAGATGCCACAGTCTTGGTAGCGAGTACAGTAGGAGGTGGCTGTGCTGTAGCTGTGACAGATTAAGTGACAGGTAACTGGGGCCTATAGTAATAAAAACAGTAATAATGAATTTAACTATATAGTGATTATATTGCCAAGATCAAATCATTGTCTAGGAAACTTTTATAACCCCACAGAGGCCGTACTCCTGGTAGCAATGATCCTTGGATTAGTTCTCAACAGGGATTAGTGCATTTCATCCTCCACTCCTTCCCTGAATTTCCCATTTATTTCGAACTATCCAATCTAATTAAAGACAAAGACACAAATACCTTCACAATGTTCACAGTGGGGTGTACAGATGAAGGGCATACCCTTCGAAATCTGAGTGGCTACCTCTGGTACGATATATGAAGTGCCAAAAACTGCAGTTCCTCAAGTGTCCACTTGAGACTGGCTGTAAGCTAAGGAAGTCCCATTTACACCAATATTAAAACACCCATCTTTAGAGCAGAGAGAAATGTGTTTTCAGCTTGGTATTGTCATGAAATATCTTGCACATCTTTTACATGAGACATGTGCACAGAAGCAAATTAAGTCCACCAACAACTACAATCCAGCCTGCACACCCTCTGTCAGAAATATTTCTTGTCAGGTCTCTTGCTCCGAAAACATGTAATTGTAAACATTTCTGGATGACACTATGTTTGTGTTGGAAGACAAATCAAATAATATTATTGGAGACAGAAATGGTCAATATACAGTGTTGGTATTTACTAACAATAGTAACAAGTTAAAGTGTGTTTTATGCTCCAAGAAATTGACAACATTGAATTTTTTGTCACAATTAACAATCTAATGGCCTAAAAAAAATTATAAATGCAAAAAGCATTTCACAAAACTAAATAAATGAATCAGAAATAAACAAAAACACATAAGGTAAAATATAGGCCATAAAATGCAACATTAAACAATTTTCAATGATATACTCATAAAATAAATCATTTTGTAGAATTTAACTTTGGTTTCGAATAAAAGTAAAAAAATAAGCTTGTACTTCTTTTTTTTTTTTTTTAGAACGTACAATTAACACAAATACATTTTTCTTTAAATTTATTTCACTATCATTGATTATCAAAAATATATGTGAAACACCATCTGTGTTTCATTTTAAATATTTTGATTTTTTTTTTTTTTTTTTTTTTTTACAAATGGTGAGATTTTATTTTGAGCGTAATAATATAATTTTTGTATATTGTGAAATTTTACTTTAAATGCGCGCACACACACACATTGAACGGGTGTTTCAGGTGTGTCAAACGCTTTTTTATGCTACAAATAAAAAAAAAATAGATTAAAAAAAATATTAAACCCTATTGCATATGAAATGGGCTATTATGAAGTTTGATTACATATTTCCAATTTCTTTAATATTATCATCATGCTGATTTGTTTAGGGGGTTATGAAATATTTCGGGAGCCTCCATACAAATCGGTTTATTCCACTGAAGCAAAGCATGGTCGTAAATTTCTTTTATAAAGGTCTTTTAATCTCGGCGCAGGAAGAGGAGGCGGGTTTTGCAGCCTGTGAGTCCAAACTCTGGGTATAATAATTCCCCGCCGTTCCCCCCACCTGCTGCTGGTCAGCCAGGTTAATGGATAAACTTCCTACCTGCTGAACCAACAGTGAAACCGACCTGCAGCCCGGAAGACACACACCACCGGAGAGGAACAGTCCAACACCGCTGCTTGATTTAGATTATAGACACATTTCAAAAGCGGTCCCTCATGTTTTTGTGTCTGGAAGCCGGGAAAAATACACCGAACTTCGCACGGACCTGAAGTTTCACCCACCTCTGACCGAGGAGAGGTACGGACTGTGAAGCAGGGACTCTTAGCGGGTAAACACCGGGAGATGGACCGACACAGGTACTTCATTTTCAACCAAAGGAACGTGCTGATTCTGGGGATCCTGCAGATAGCCTGTGCCGGTCTTTGTGTGGTGTGCGGGTTCATGGACGCTGCTTTCCGCAAGGATACCGCGCTGAGTACCACCAGGACTCCAGTGTGGGGAGGGCTGGTGAGATCCATTCTTCAATAACTAATCGATCACAGACTCGGTATTCTTCTGCCAGTATGCCTGTCGTTAAGGCAAAACTGAGTTCGCCGATTATTGAACGGGGTTTGGTGTGTCTTCAATAGAGATAACGGGCATATTGGGACTTCTGTTGAGGTGCCTTAGTCTGTGTTTTAACCCCCAGATAATATCACTCGATTCTGATCATTCTGACTTTATTACAGATCATGGCCTCTCCAGGGGTTCTGGCACTGTTTGCCTCCCAGAGAAAAAACCCAGTACTGGTAAGTGTTAGGGGTCTCTGTTTCTTTTTTGTACATAGTAAGTCAAGGTAGAAGTTTACCTTCAAGCTCAGCCATTTGTTGAGATACTCCTGGCCAGATTTTACTCCAGAACAAGTAAGAGTTGTCCAAGCATTACCAGAGTTTAGGTACTACTTGATTTTAAAGTTCCTGTGAGCAACTTTCAGCTTGTATCCATTTTGGCGCCCCCTATGTACAAAGCAGTCTTTGCTTATCTTCTTCCTTACCTAAGTAGTCTCCACGGCAAGTGAAAAAAAAAAAATCATTCTGACCTGTGACAGTCACATTTGTGGTTGATTGTGAATGTTTCATATGACGGCAGCGACAACATGGCTGTTTTTTTAGCTGTTTGGCTAACAGCACATGTTTTATGCATTCAAAATTACAATAAAAAACCTGATCGATCTGGTTACTGATGGTCATTTGCTTCAATAGATCATAAAAAGGCGTCGGTATGAATTAAAGTCTGTTTCACTGATGTTGAAAACTCCCCACAGGAGCTTTAATGATACAAACAAGAAACTACTTCTTAAAAAAAATAAATAAATAAATCTCAAAACATTGTATTTGCACAACGCATGGGAACAGTCAAGTAGAAAAACAGCTCTGAACTAAGAGGAACAATTAGAGGAAGGACCTGCCAGAGAATAAAAAACAGCAGCTGAGATGAATTCAGATGACTTCAATAAATTTAGCATGTACCTCAACATGTTTTAGGGTTTGGCTGCTTTTCTTTTAAGGAGGAAAGGGAGGGTAGGCTTTATTTACCTTGTTAAACAAAATGAGCAGGACACAGCAGATGGTACAATACTATTGAGTCTCAATGATCATATTTGTTTAGAATTAAAATTGTGCGCTGTGCAGTCTGACCTGGTGGGGCTTTTGAACAAGCGTGCAGACATCTTTTTTTTTTTTTTCAAAAAGAACAAGTGTGCAGAAAGTATTTGTTCAGCTTCCTCATAAAAGGAAATCCACCTTGAGTGTTTTGAGCCTCACTCTATATAACTAAATGTCTGCTGAGATTGTTATATTATGAGCTGCTCTGCATGTTGATATTCAGTCTAAAATAGCTTGCATGTCTCTGTATGTTCTGTGGCCATTCAATACTCTAAATCACATGTGTTATGCTGCTGGAGAAGTATGATTAAGGGGAAAACATGCAAGGTATCTTTTATATCATCAGAATTTATACAATTTTAACATGACATTGTTGGCTGACCGTAAGAATTTCCAAAGATTGAGGAGAATAGTTAGTTTGCATCCTGAGTATCCAAACTTGAGGACTTCCTCTTCTTTCGATATTTCAATCATAATTGCAATTCTCCTCTGAAACAGTAAAGAACATCCAAACCAGCAGCATAATTTTGTTGGTTAATCTTTATTATATAAAACTGTATTATTGGAGTTATAAATAACAAAACACCCCATTATTGACTGATAACTTCCTGGACTGATGCTCTGAATATCGTGCATTTCACCTCAAGGCCAAGTAACTTCACCTAGGAGCACAAGGTGCCATCAAATGATGGCCCCAGGAGACTAAAGCTAGCTAAAAACAACAAGGTAAAAATGTAGAGCAGAAAACACCCAGACAGCTTGTAGCCTACATCAAAATGACACCCTAAATCATGTCTGGCACCCATCGTTGGATTGCATTTTCTGTACAGCAACAAATATTTGGGATTTGAACTGGTCTGATGTTGACATGCGCAGAGAATTATTTTGGCGTTTTGTGTTACTGATCTTGTCTCATTGTCTCCTCAGGTGAGTGTGATGGTGGCAGCAGCAGGACTCTCCTGTGCGGCAGCAACATTTGTATCAGGTTACTCCTTTCTGACACTCACCTACGGAGAGGAGGATGAGGAGGTCTTCCACCATCACCACAGTCCTGAAGTGGTAATTAAACACACCTGCAGACCCTCCTGGTTTCATGATGACTACTCTTCTTGTCCACCTACAGTCACTTTCCACACAACTGCTGATTGTCCTGAGTGACTTGTACACACACGGAAAGATGTATATACCCTGGTGAAGTTAGTTTGGAAACTGCAGTGGGAATCTATAGTAAGAAAATAAACAATGATAACATTTCAAATATTATTTCTGTTTCTCAGACGTTTGTGCTACATCGCATGGTGAAAGGAGCCAACGCCACTATACTTCTCACCTGCACCATCAGCTTAGCTCTTTCCTCTCTCATTGCCTACTCTGGATTCCGTAGTCTCCCCTGCTGTGCCTGCTATGATGCCCGAACTGGACTGGTAGGGACAAATGAAATACACACTAAGTACAGAGCATGAATCGGAGCAAAACTGATTGCAGAGGGGAACAGTTATGAATCATACCTACAGTTCACAGCATCACTTCTTCTGCGAGTGCTGCAGGAAGGGATCAATATTCATTTTCTGTCCCCTGATTTAAATCATCCCTCACGTAACTGTTTCCACTCATGAAGTACCGTAACACTCAGCTGGAGTGTGATCAGTGGTGTCTGGAAATAGAGAGTGAGGGATCTACTGTGAAAAACCTTTCAGCACCTTCATCAGAGATATATTTGTCAAGGACACAAAAATATTAACCAACAAAATTATAGAAACAAAGTGATTGTGTCAAAAAGGATTTGATGTCTTGTGCGTGTTTCAGGAAACGCTGGTACCTCAGTGTGACCCCGGGGACACCGAGATGGTCTGTACTTGGCAAGGTAAGAACTAACTTTAAAGAGCCAGTCCAAATTTTTTTCATATACCCTCGACCATTTTCATCCTGTTTTATTTTAGAGACTATGATCAAGGGGGAGTTTTAATCTCATATCAGGTTGATGAAATATTGAACATGCGTAGGGTAAATTTTACAACACTTCAGAAAAGACTGTCAATTTAAAGTATTGGGTTGAGGTCAAGTTATTCGTGCTCTTAAAAAAAATAGAGCAGTGGAAAAGGAAGTTTTTTTGAGTAAAGTCACTAAAAATACTCTACTATATAGTATAGTAGCGTATATCTCTATACACTCTATAGAGATACATTTTTAAAAATTAAAATAGAAGTACTCTTGCAACATTTTAATTTATGTGTATTGAGTTCAGAAAAGATATAGTTTACATTTTTCTGCATAACTGATCAAAAAACACCTTTTTTTTGAAGATAATTCAATATTCAGAAGAGCTGATCACCTAAAGTAGAGTTTCAGAGGCTGCTTCACATTTCTTATTCAAAGGCAGGTCTGCCCCTCAAAATAAAACATTGACCAACCTCTCGTGAGACTCGACACTGAATTTCAAATTTTCAAACGATATAAGCCATCATCATGAAAATCGAAGGCTTTAAATAGTTCATACCACATATCATATCATATCACATGTCAGAAATATATTTACCTAAAAGAAATGAAAATAAGAAAAGTAACTTTTTCACAATATTCAAATTTATTGAAAAACTACGATTTGACCTAAACCTGTGACTGTATCAAATTTAGAACTTTTTTTTTTTTCAGAAAAAAGTTGTTCTTACAAATTTGACTAAATTCTCATTAAATAATAAACCTTTATTTGTTTTTTTCTTTAAATCCTCTAAAATGTTCTCCCTCTGTAAGGTATCCCTAATACTGTCATTACATTTTTCAGGTTTTGTCTCAAATATTCAATCTTGTTAGAAATTGGTTCAAAAAATTAAAGAATTCAATTTGTTCATCAATTTCAGGTACTCAGGAAAAAGAAAGAAAGGGAACAAGTAAACAGTCCAGAGTAGAATAAAATAACATTTTATAGATACATGTTGAAGTAGTTCTCTTCTGTGTCCAGCAGGGGGTGATGACAGACTTTTCAATTCTCCAGCTCAATCTGCAGCCCAGGCTACCACTGAGGAAGAGGGGGGGTCCTCCAAACTGCCTCCATACAGCAGACTGACCTGACAGCAAGTCCACGTTAGAGACTTATCCAACACATATTAATATTGTCTTAATCTCAGAGCAGAGGGGAATAATTATGGATCATATTTCTACAGAGCTGAACTGACACATTTGTGTTTCTGCAGATTGCTGGAGAGGAAGAGGGTGAACATTAGAAAAGAGATGAAAAAGATGTATAGAGCTGTTTCAGAGGAAGATGAGTGGTTGATCAGATTTAGCACTTTTGACTGTAGCAGTGTCTACATTTGCTCTTTAACCAAAGATTTCTGTGTTTTTTTTCACTTTGCCAATACCTGTATGCGTTCAGACTGAAACATTTAATTCTGTGCATGCTGTTTGAAACTGACGTTTTTATGTGTAGTTAATAAAGGAGACCTCACTTAGCTGCTGATCTGATGCATCAAAAGGAAATACAACACATTTTGAAGGTTCGAGGTTGTTTACTGCAATGTTATACACACACACAAAAGAAAAAAAAAAACATTGCAAGTGTCTCCCTTTTTCACACACACCATTTCATTTGTGACTTATTGAGTTTATATTATTTTGTAACTTAGATTTTCTCTCCAGAGTATTTGCTGTTAGAGATACAGTAGTGTTTCTTGTTCATGGCTGTTGTCAAGAAAAGTAAGGCAAATGAAATCACCATTGAGTCAGTGTGAAGGCTATTTATCAAAAACAAAGGACACTTAAAGAACAGAAGAAAGCAGCCAACAAATGTAAAACAGTAAAACACCCTTGTGTTGTCCTCAGAGATGCAGCAAGCACAGTTTCTTTCTCTGCGTCTGATTTTCACCCATGTGCATAGCCACTGAACGGTGAGTCCTGAGAGAAGGCCTTTTGGTTTGATTGATACTCCAGATCCTTCAAAAAGACAGTAATGTTCAGCAGAGGAGCCACAGGACCAGCTGTGACCACAACAAAACCACTAAGACGAAGCTGTCAAACGGCAGACACCAGCCTATGGTGAGTCATGGCTTACACAGACATGAAACATTGTGAGCTTTTAGCATACAGAGGTGTTAGCAGACATGCGGAGTATTAAATCACAAGAATATACAGGATATGTAGGAGGTTAAGAAGTCCGTGTGCAGAGGTACACATAATAAGAGGTATGCATTTTTAATGTTTGATTCACTGGTTAGCCTACACAGTACTTGATCTTGATTTTCTGTTAATGCAGAACAAGCGGAAAAAAACACAAGTGTCTCTGAAGTCATTTCCATCCTCCTCTAAGTTTCCCCTTTAATCCTATCTGGAGTTCAAACTCCTGGTCACACCCAAAAGCCATTATCAAGTGCTAGAGAAGGAAAACAAAACGAAACAAAACTGCTGATCCATACAGATTCAGAGAAGCCAGCTGTAGACGTACTACCTGAAAAATAAAACTGCCCTGCTGCCCTTTGTACTGTTAAACTGAATATGAAGAACACCTTACAGAAGAAAAAGAGATATTTGCCCCGATAAAAGTTATAAAATGAAGTTTTGAAGGGGAAAATGAGAAGAGAAGCCAGTTGTCTGCACCAAAATGAGGCATTTGAATCATTTTGTGAAGTTATCCTGCAGATTTCATGTATCACTGAACACTCAATCTTTTAACACATTTAACACCACATTATCATAGAGCTCAGGGTTCTGAATCCACCTGTACAGACACCTGCAATGTTGTTGAACCTCAGCTGTTGAGTTCAACTTCACAAAATGATCCATGTTCCTTATTTTAGTGCACATGGCTAATTTCACGCTACATGCCAATTTCTTTTTAATCACTGCTTACAATTACCTCTATTCTTACAAAAATTTCAATTTAATTTTTGTGTGATCACAACTTCAAGGTCAAATTACAGATTATGCAGTTTTTTGTTGTTGTTGTAATTTTACTATTTTAATCTTGTAAATATGAGTTATTATTGTAAATTCTCTACTTATTTCTCATCCTGATAATATTCAGACTTCATAAAGGTTAATTTACTATTTCAATCTTGGAGTCTTTTCTCTCATGACTTCATTCTTATGTAATTATTTCTTCATTCTCAAGATAATTATGTATGACCATATATTTCTGTTGAGATAAAACAAAGTTCTCAATATGTTTGTGTTATTTCAATTCAAGCCAATGAAGAATCTGTAAGTCCTGTTAATTAACATCTCAGTTTTTTAGATCTCAAAGCAAAACTTTTCCTTTTTTGTAACTCTAACTCTCCACTGTAATATTAGCCTGTATCTGAATTCATCACTCACACAGACTGACTGGCTGTTTGATCGTCGTTGTTGTCTTGCAACCGAGCTAATGGTGAACACACTGTCCAGCTGAGTTAGCAGTAAACACTGCCTTAAAAACATACTTTTCCTCTGGCGTGCTCCACCCCAGCTCAGATTTGATACTGTAACGACATTTTTCTCTCAAAGGAGAATAAAGCGAGACTTGTTAGTGTCAGCTAACTATCTGTTACGTACAAAACTGACGGTTAATAGGCTGTTAGCTAACCGTTTTTTTTCTCACGGGGGAGTGTGCTAACTGCTAACAAGCAGCTTTACAGCTTTTATTCTTCTCTGTATAGAATACTTCCTAACTCGCACTGTATTCCTACCTTTAAACAATTAAGTCAAATAAGCAGCAGGCAGCAAATGTAATTTAGCTTGGTTAACAGTTACATTACTAGTCATGAAAAACATCTCTTTTGACTACTGATGTCAAGAAATAGTCATAAAGGATTATGTTTGTGATCAGTGAGGTTCTTTTCAGCTGACAGAGAAATATTTGGCTACTCTAAATCTCCTAAAGAAATTAGCCGAAAGCTGTTTAACATACAAGCTCATGTTTTATTTGTTGTAGCAGATAGTTTTAATCCCCCTCAATTTCAAAGTTAATCTGTTTGGCCTTGTTCAGACCAGGTTAATCCAATTTGTACTGATAAAAAAAGAGACTAGTGTTAATGTGATGGCAGCCAGGGGAAGAAAGTTGACATCATTTGACTCCATCCACAACTCCATTGAGAGGGTGAATCTAAATCAACACTACTTGCATTTGGTATCACCTGCTGTATTTCTAAGGGAAGCATTCACGCTAAATTCTGTTTTTGTTTTTGTTAAACTGTCACTGATTTCAAAGAGCTCAGTCTGCAGCCTCTTCAAACTAAACATCTCTCCAAGAGCCTAATAAAACCTTTATCGATCATATCCACCGGAGGCAAAGTTGTAAAAATGTCTCTACAAGCTGCTGAGGAGATACATTCTCGTCAAAATGTCCTTCCATTTGTTGACTGTCATTTATTGAACCTTGTGATATACTACAGCTGATAATCATGAAATTAACACAGAAAAAGCTTGTTGCACCAGCTCTGTGTCAGTCAAGACTGAACCACAGAAATAGTTCAAATTTGTTTATTAGTTAAGTTGTGTCAATGTTTGACTGTACCATAGATGCAAGGTTCACTTGAGCTGGTTAGGATTGCCAAAATATGTCTTAAAAATGATATTTTACTCACACTTACACTATCACTAAAAAGCTCTGTTCACAATGCAGTATTTATCAGAGGGATGAATCTAACGCCTGATTGTCTCTGAACTGGTCAGCAGCTGAAATTCCCCTAAGTTGTTCACTGCCATGTACTTATCACTTAAAGAAACATGACAAAGCATTATGGTAAAGTAAGTGTAAAGTAACAGTGAAATGGTCAACTATTATATTTGAATGTAAAAAATAAAAAAGAAGCTTGAACACAGATGGGTTATTAAAGAAGCACTCACACCAAGCTTCCCCACTTGTTTGCACTCATGCTGCTCTAGAAGTTACCTCTTGTAGATGCATCACAACATCATAATATGACACATGCATGACTTGATGTTATCAATATGGCATCCTTAATTTACAAATGTGGTTTCACAGTTAGCATTATAGACAACAACACTAACTGAATGTTTGCATCGGCTCAAAATTCAACCTCTGCATCACATCAACATGAACCCTTTGCCACCATTGTTTACAATGATTGTCAAGATGAATGGTCGCATTGATTAAAAGTCATGTCCATATTGAGTACTAATGCTTATGCATTAGCAACCGCACTATGTTTAAGCCCATCTCTTCCAACCGTGCCAGGGTTGAGGATGTGTATCATGCTATAGCACAGTACAGAGAACCCCGAAAGTCCAGAAAAACTGGAGACATGCATGGGCAAGCCCTCTGCTCTTCCTCATTGTCCAAGACAGACCATGTTTTTATACGATGCACCTTGACCACTTAGTGTTTTACAGAGGGTTTTATGCATACTCAGAGGCAGGTGTAAGATTTAAGATACAACTCGAGCCCAAATTGGATCGATCTCAGCTGGTGTTAACCCACAACAGTTAGCGGGGTGTAAACCTCGTCAAATTTGAACTAGCCCAGAGCTGGTGCAACCCACTACACATAACTAAATACTGAAATGCTGCAAAATTGCAAATGTTTCATCATTAAACAAGTGAATCTGAAATGTTGAAGGTTCGAAAATACACAATGTGTTTTAGGAAAACTCAATGGAAAAACTATTTACATTGATTATGGGAGAACTCCACCAGGAGCCTTTCCTGAAATCCTTCAATGACACAGACTCTGACCACCTTTAGAACATGTCAGCTGAAGTGAAAACCCAAAGAAACAGATGGGGTCAAACCAGCTAACATCCACACCGTCTTATATAATGCTGTCATTACTAGATTGCCTCTGATAACGACTAAGGAATTAACCAAGTTAGACCTCCCTGACAAGCGTCACACAAATAAAATGGCACAGAAATTTAAAGGAAGATTGCTGTGTTTTTTGTCAGTTCACTGCAAGTCTGCATGTAGAAACCATATTCTGATCCCTTATATTTTCATTGTGTTTCCCTTTCAGACATCAGTTATCAAGTGCGGCCACATTTTCTTCTACTACAGGACAAGTGACAGTAAGTGAATTAAATCCTCATGTGGCTCAGGACTTCTGTGAAGGACTGGATTGTTTGACACTTTATCACAAAGACAGAAATTTATTCTGTTTCAAGTAGCCCAGAATAATTTCTTAAATTTAGCACAAGCATTGAAACTGTATCATTTTCTAACAGTGATGTTAATCTTTGTGTAGTGCTGATTATGGAGCCATTTTTCTTGAACCTTCTTTCTGTCAAGGTCTTCTTTCTTCCCTCAGCTGATCTCCAGTCTCTTCAGCCATGTGCACACACAGGCTCCATTTTTTGCCCTTTTTCCCTTTATTTGTCTCCCTCAGCAGCTGCTGCAGCCCCAGCCTTTGGCCCCATCTCCTCCGTCATCCCTCCCCCTGTTGAGGTTGACAGTGACCCCTGACCCCATAGGCGGCTGGCTCAATACCAGAGGCTTCTGACTCTTCAACTTGTGAGCCACGGTCATAAAAATAGCCTCCACGTGGTCACTGTTTGCTCCGCCACTGTCTCCTTGGCTGTTTGGGTTCTTTGCAGACGTCTCAAACAAAGGCATGGAGTGAGTGTCAGCGAACTGCTGTGCCACATCTGTGCCCACCTGGATGGAGTCCTGGAGGTCACACTTGTTTCCTACAAGGATCCTGGGTACCTCTGTACCCAAAGCGTGCTGCTTACACTCCTCGATCCAGGCGGGGAGGCTGCGGAAACTGGCAGCATTGGTGACATCATAAACAAAGACGACAGCATGCACGTTGCGGTAATAGTGCTGCACCATGGATTTTCTGAAGCGCTCCTGACCTGCAGTGTCCCACAGCTGGATCTGTGGGGGGACAGGAAAATGAATTAGTTTGATTCATATTACAAGACAAAATAGGAGAATAAAAAGAGGAACAACTATAAATCAATAATTTAAAAGTCAATGAGCCACAGCGTTGCACTGGTTAAAAAAACACATTTTGATCTTTGACATGGAATTTAATCATCAGGTCCACTTTACACTGAACTCCATTTAAAAAGGATGAACTTTTACAGCAACTTGTGAAATTCCTCATTTTATCAGTTTATACATTTGTATTCTTTTCCTGAAATCCAACAGATTTTAGACACCTGTCGACATTGAATCTCATCCCTCCAGTCTACACTGTTGTGTATATGCTACACATGTGGACAAGATTGTTGGTACCCCTCTGTTTGTGAAAGACAAAATCATAATCTTCAATGAAATAACTTGAAAATGACAAAAACAGCAAAAAAGACATGACATAAAAAATACTGAAAATTAGACATTGCTTTTTAATTATGATTTAACAGAATCATAAAAAAAAAAAATGTTGAAACAGGCCTGAACAACAGTGGAGCAACAATTGTTGCTTGAACATGATCTCTAACTGTGTGTCTCTCTCTGAGACTGTAATATGCCAACACTGCTGACTTTACCTTTCATGTTGGTCCAACAGGTGACCTTTTCTGCCCAAGATAAACCCACTTCTATTAATTTTCTCAATTAGCAGTTGGTGTACTAGCTTGCTAGTATAAAATTAGAGGAAAAGAGAGAGGTAAGATGGGATATGACACAAATGAATAATGGTTATGGACATCTTTGCACGGCACACCAAACGCTGATGAGCAAGCTGATGTAGAAGACGACAGAGTAAATATATCAGCTGATAGCACGGTTTAACCAATTCCTCATTGCACCTCTAGATAACATGTTCAAGACAATCAGTTTTACTTCAACCTCTCATCATATATTAAATATCCTACATCTCCTTGAATGCTTTTGTTTAATTTCATGAGCTGGCTTTAGAGTCACTTAAGATATAAAAAAGAAAAAGGTCCACTTTCGATGACCCTCTACTGTTATAATCAAATCAACCTCAAATATTTTGTAAGTTTTTTTTAATGCCAAAACCTTAAAATTCTTAAAATGCTAAGTTTGATTTAGTTTGTACAAGCTGAAAAACTCTGTGAGCATATAGTACAGTTTCAGTTTTTTTTTCAAAGCCTCACTTTACTTTTGTGTCACCTGTGAAGCCTTGAAAGAGCCTTTACCAATCATGTTCCCACAGGTAATTGTTAAGTTTACCTAGAAACAAACCCTGAAGGACAGGGGCTGCAGACTGCTCCATTTATGTGATAGTGGTGCACAAAAATTGCTAATGTTGCACAGAAGAAAGATTTCATGTTATCACAGGGCTTTTTTTTTTTGTTTGTTCGGTGTCAGCAAAGACTTGTTGACACAGAAAACCTGTATGAGCCTACCTTTTTTCACACAGGAATCAATAAGGGATTCAATAAGGAATTGGATCAATAGGCAGAATGGATAATGACATTGATATTGATAAAATCTTATCAATTCCCATCCCTGCCCTTGAAGGAGAAGATGGGAGTCTAAGGCCCGAACTACATGTGTGTGGATATTTATTTATCAGGATATTTTTGTACTCCCGTCTAAATAAATGCTAAATCCTATCTGGTGCCGCTTAAAAAAAAATCAGGAACAAAGCTAACTGATTGGCCGATGAATCGTAACAGCGTGATGCGTCATGCATTGTTTGCGGAAGCTACGCTAGTGCGTCGGGTCCATGTGACGGACCATGTGACCAATAAAAGTATTGGCCGCAGCAGACGCGTCTGTGGGCTGGCTGACTGGTGGATGTAATTGTATAAAACAAGGTTCACTTGCAAGGCTGAAATTAGCCCCAAAAGGGCAAAACAAACGTAAAGAATACCCTGTCTGTCCGCCATCGTTGTTGTTGTTGTTGTTTTTCTTTTTAATTCGCATGCGCGAGCTGCTGTTTGACGTCATCGATCCGTAAAAGTCCAACCACACGAATCCACTACGGATACGGGATACGGATATTTTTTTATTTCTCCACTTGTTTTTCCGGATTCAGATTTATCGGGTTTGAGTGCTCCAAACTCCCGTTTTGGTGTGGTAGGGAGGCCTAATCGGACATAAATATGTGCGGTTTGAAATATATCCACATTCGTGTAGTGGACAAAGTGATTGGTGGACAGACACTGAACAAACACAGAAATCTCTTACAATTTCACCATTAATTAACCAAACAGAACTGTAGAAAGCCAACTGATGGAGATGACACCCTGAGGAGCAAAAACCACTGAACAGGGAGAGCTGCCAAGAGGCTTCATAAACAGAAAGGGGAGTGCATAAGACACTCTCTGTTTTAAACAGTTGAAACTATCTGTATAAAATCTCCGGCCGCTTTCAATGACGTCAACAATGTGCAGTTTTTGTGCAACTGTGAGGCTCTTTCTTGTATAATCTGTCTCACCATCCTGCTGGTTATCCAGGGTTTTTCCTGCGTTCAAAATTGCGTGGCGGCCGCCTCCACCTAATTTTGTGCTGCCCCCAGCCAGAGCGATTGATTTCGCTCAACACAGCGTAAAGCTCCAGCTGTGTTGATTGAGCGATTGATGTCCCGATGCAGCAGCAACGTATTTTAACTGCAGTTGCAGCGTTGCGCCACTATAGAGGCGCTATATCAACAGCAGTGCACCGGAAAGACCTGAAGCATCTACCGAAGAAGAAACGGATCGAATCATGTTTTTTCAAGTTTTTTTCCCGCTAGTTGGTGCTATCGGCGTCCTGATTTTCCCTGGCGGATGGTACAAACAGGTAAATACTGCTTGTCTTTTTTGCATCCAAGCATGTCGTGTTTATTTTAAAAAAAAAGTTTACTCCGTTTTTAGCGTTGCAGTTATGACAGGCAAAATCAGCCAGTACTTTAAAAAGCGACCTCGCGAGGAGGAAAGTCAAGAGTCCAGGTGAAACACAGCAGAGAAAAAACGTAACAGGCAGTTAAAATGCTATAATTCATAGTGGTGACAACGTGGAAATTTGTGTCAGGTCTGAAAGTACTTCACAAGGGACTGGTGATCGCGAGGGTCAGAATGCAGGACAGGACGAGTCGGCGAGGCGAGGGTAATTAATTAATTAGTTTCCAATTAGGAGCATAACAACGCAAAGCCGACGTGTACGTGGTTTTTATTCCGCTTTCCAGATCTTCTCAAAAACACAGAGCCAGTGGCTTTGACAAGCAGTGGCTCAATCAATTTACTTGGCTCAGGCATACTGAGGAAGGCATGCACTGCTGTTTATGCCAAAAGCACTGTGCCCCAACACAGCAGGCAATTGCTACCTCCTTAGTGAGACAGCCATCAACCAACTACAGGCTGGACACATTAAAAAGACATGAGGTGACAGCCATTCACAAAGCAGCAGAAGAGAAGGAGAAGTATATTAAAGATGGTAGTACCTAAAAAAACTCAACTAATAAAGTTACAAAAAATAAATAACATAGTTTTGATAGTTTAAGAAATAATTGGTTGTCGTTTTTTTTTTTTTTAGAGAGGACACTGCAGCGTATACATATATATGATTGAAAACACTATCACTCTTCATGTCTGTATCAGAATAAAAACAAAAATACTGAATGCATGATGAATTGTTTTGTTTAAGGTGAAGACACCTCTGTGGAACAGACTGAAGGAGAGGCACTTGGATGTCTGTTGTAAGGTGGCCGTTGATGGACCAGACCAGGAGGCCTTGGACTACAAGGAGTGCATGAGGAGGTTCTACAGAATGACAGAGAGGAGGCTGAAATGTTCTGTCTGGTTGCGAGATGTGTGGATGAAGTGTACTTTCAATCTAAAGTTGCCAGCTGATTTGTGTATGTATATAGTTTTAATAAATGAATGCTTTAACATAATAATGGTCACACTCTTTTTTGAACTCTTAACTTAAAGTATGTTGCCTGTAAAAGTAAGTGAATCAGTTGAATTTACAAATACATGCACGTCGTGGCGCATGGTCAGGATGGTGCCACCTCTGCCTCAATTTGAGCCAGGAAAAACCCTGATATCGGTATGGTTGTTGTAAGGTATGGATGGACACACAATTACCATCTGCTCATAGCTTGATGTCTCAAATGAAAAGGGTCTTTTCAATCAAACCAGGATTAATTTATCAGAAAGTACACTTTTCCTTAAATGCACAACTGTACTCATAAGGGAGACAAGTCATTAACAACCTCCCTCTGAATATTAACTCCCTTTTAAAATCTTTAAAAAAATATTTGCAGCAGTCATCTTATGGTAGAAGAGTTTTTTTTTTTTTCTTGTGATGAGAAAATCATTTTTTTTTACGATAAAACATACTTTGTCACTGAAATAATGAAAGGAATGGTTGATGTCTTGAGTCAACAACCAAAATCAGCTTGCTAGTACAGTTATCTCTGATAATACAATACATAAGTTGAGATATTGAGTAAATAACATGGATGACTGTCCGCTGAGGGCTTCCGTAGACATATGTCCCTGCACTCCCCTATTTATTTTGCTACATTGAATTTGCATGACTAATCTTATGTAATGGTCAGTCAATGTATCACCTGATCTGAGTCTTACATCATGTCTTGCATTTATAGAGGTGTCATGTGGATGTGGTACACACCTTGATTTTCTCGCCGTCTATCTCGACCAGTCTCTCCCTGAAGTCTACCCCGATCGTGGCCTCCGTCTTCTCGGGGAACTTCCCTGCGCAGAAGCGGTAGGTGAGGCATGTCTTCCCGACACCTGAATCCCCGATTACAATGATTTTAAAGATGCGAGTCCTCGGTGGGGGGAGGGCTGAGCTTGACAGAGAGCCGGAGAATTCAACCGACGACCCGATCTCCGCCATATCAGACCGACAGGCTGGATGATCTGCAGGGGAATCCTTCTGCAGCAACGGGTCCTGCTCTCTTGGCCCGTGAAGCTACACACTCCTGCAGCTCTCTGCAGAGGAAACGGCGACAACAGCGGTCAGAAACAACGGGCGCCGCTTTTTGTCAAATCATACACTCAAATGTGAAAAGTGCACAACACACAAGTGTTGTCAATCCAGTATCTTTATCCGTGACATCCCAGTAAACACTCCCAGTCCTCAGCTCTGCAGCCACGTAAAGTGTTGTCGGAGGAAATCAGTTCTCGCGAGATCTATTTGATGACGCATTCAAGTTCAGTGGTAAACCCGAGGAGCTGCATTTAGAATGACATGTTCATCATTATTTTGGACTGATTATCTCGCTCCCCGCACTTCTTCTTTTGTCAGCACCAATTAAAAGAACAAACAGCAGCAGTTTTTATTTCAAAACATTTTCCCAGTGTATTTCCAAGTGTTTTAAGACAATTTGTCACCATTTTTATACATGTGCATCTCAAAGATTAGGATGCCCTGAAAAAGTAAAACTTCCATATGTAGGGGAGACCAGGGCTTGTTGTGACATGGGTAAATTGCCACATTGCAATAATCTTTGCCACCAGAGGGCACAACTAAAAAGTGGAATATTAGTTTTCTTCCTTTACATGGTCAGGGGTCATGTCCTGTCTGAGAAGAGAAGAGCACATTGTGAGCTGAGATGAACACCAATTAACCATTTCACACAACCCAAAGTAAAAAAAATAAAAATAAAAAACCTTATATATTTTAAAGTAAGCTTCTTCCAAATAAAAATCCTAGCAGTGATACATGTGGACTTGTTAGAGGAGAGATTAAGACATCCTGTCATACCTCAGTCATTGTTCTGTTTTACGCTAACTTTAAGACAGAGCTTTAATTAGCAGAAATTGTAGATTGGGACAACGTGTCTCAGTCATTTTGGGGTTAGTTGTCACATGTTTATAAGGGATTAAAATTAACACAGAGAGTCTGCTTATCAGCAGTTGTCATACTGAAAGTTTGACTTTATTATTATAGAAAAAAGAGTGGTTTAAAAGAGAGGAGAAAGTGAGAAGACATGGTCAGGATTTACAAAAGAAAAACAGAACATAGCAGTGCAGTAGCTGACGTGATGCTGAGAGCAGTCAGACAGGAAACCCGAGCTAATAAATCAATCTGGAGTACAATAAAAGACTTTAATGTCAACTACCATACCTTGGCTAGATACTGAAATACAAACTCCAGAGCATGTTGTATAATATTTTATGTTAACGTTTGTTCAATAACTTTTTCTTGCTCAATGATAAACATTTTCTGCGCCTGACTTTGATGTTCACTTTCATGTAAAAAAAAAAAAAAAAATGAGAACAACAATAATTCTGTCCTTGTTTTATTAGCTGCAAAATCCACTGTGACATCTTACCCCATGTAGTGAGACAACTTACCCCATGGTGAGGCCACATGTCACATGTTCACACTCTCTATTTGATTGCTTATAACTCTACACTGACACATGATTTGAACGTAACATGAATATGAAAGACATACCTGAGACTTCGGTCTTTCATCTGGCACACATTTTGTTTATATATGATGGATTGATTCCAAGAAACATATAAAAGTGTGACAACAAGCCACGGTCTCCCCAACTAGATTTATCACACACAGTGGAAAATATCTCTCACTCTGGGTCAATCCACACAACCACAATCATGAGGAAGACTGCTGATCTTACAGTTGTTATTACGTCCAGAGCCAACGCAGTCTAAAGTCTACCAGGATATTTTAGAGACTTTAAATTATTGCAGCTGCTGAACAACTTAATGGAGATACAGACTCCCTTTTCCTGCAGGATCCAGAACCTCCCACAGCACCAAAACTACAAGAAATTGGTTTACTGACCATGGTATCACTGTGCTTGATTGGCAGCCAACTGGTCTGACCTGAACCCCATAGAGGGCCTTTGGAGCATCATCAAGAGAAATATGAAAGACACCAGAGCAACAATACAGACCAGCTGAAGGAGCTATCAGAGAGACCTGGACTTCAATAACACCCTAGCAGCGACATGGACAATTACCTCCATGCCACTCTTAAAATCTTTTTTATAAGAATGTTTTAATGAACAATATTTTCCAGAAGGTTGACATTTTTGTAAAAAAAAAAAAATCCATTCTTTTAGATTGGTGTTTGTAATATTCTGATGATCTGGGAAAGTAGACTTTTTTTTTAAATTTATTTTTATTTTGATAAGCCATGATCATCGAGATACAAACAAAAAAGTCTTGAAATATTTAACTTTCTGTGCGATGAAGCAAAGAATGTATGGACGTTTTACTTTTTGAATTTAATTTAGGGAAAAATAATGAACTTTTAAGGATGTTCTACCTTTGGAGCTGCATCAGTATTTATCTACAACCACATTTCAAAATCAGTCAGGACACTAGGTTCAATGTTGATGGAACAGGATTTGATGGTCTGCAAATCATCTGAAATCAGTGCAAAGGAAAAAATAATCTAATGCTAAAACTGCAAAAAAAAAAGGTTGCGGATTGAAAATATATGTTAATTGCAGGTGTGATTATTTCAGGAAAGGCTATCTACAAATCTTTCCAAAATGTTGATTTTTCTTGTGCCAAAATTCTTTGTGGATAGAGTTATCAACTGTTACATTTAATGTATAGACTCAGGGATGTCTGTGATAATCAATAATGTCCAGTAATTCCAATTAAACACACTTGTTGTCGGCCTAACCGGCTAAATGTTTGTTATCAGGACATATTAGTTAAATTGAAGTATATCTCTGTGGATCCTTAGCCCAATCATCAACAGTCCAATAATTGTGATCCCTTGTGAAGAGCAACCGAGACTCCCGCTGCCTTTGCTTGCTGAAGGGCTTCTTCCGTGCCCTGTGTGACTTCAGCCCAACTTCGAGAAGTCAATTTCGAACTGTCACATTTTTTGACAGTGCCCACTAATTTTTGAGGTCAGATTTGTACAAAAAAATACCATAGTTTCAATAATATAATTTGCAACACAATAAACATGACTATTGTGTAAAGAGTAACTTATCAGAAGAAAGTTTGGCTATAATTTTTAGGTATTTGAGTTATTGTTGCTTAGACTTTGCTTTCTTTAAAGTAACCTCCTCTGGCTTTAACAACAGCTTATACCAGGCATTCGTTCCACAAGTTTTCTAAGGTATGTTCCAGGGATTGCATTTCAAGCTTTCTTAAGTTCATTAAAAAGAGACTGCTGATTCGTGGGACGTGTTTTTCTGACCGATTGATCCAATTCATCCCGCACAAGCTCTATTGGAGAAAGGTCTGGAGACTGAGGGGGCCAAACCATCTTTTGAAGTCCATATGGAACAGCATGGTGCTAGAGGATGTAGTGATACTGTTCCTTCTTCATGATACCCTTTACTTCAAACAAATCTCCTACTCCATCACCTGCAAAACATCCCCATACTATGGAACTACCACCTCCATGCTGAATTGTGGGTGTAACACATGGTGCTTTCAGACGTTCACCAGTTTGTCTGCGGACATAGACTCTGCGTTTTGAACCAAACAGTGCAAACTTGTGTGTAGTCATCATAAGTCCAATTTTTGTGGCTTTTGCCCACTCATATCTCTTTTTCTTGTTCTGTGGATGAAGTAGTGTTTCTTTGCAGATACACAACCCTTCTGACCAGCCTTTCTCAAATGTCATTTCACGGTTGTCAGAGATATGGGTTTCAACCTTGTCGTGTTGATTTCCTCCCTTATTTTTGGTGCTGTCTTTTGCTGATCTCTCTAACTGGTGACAATGCTATGTTTATCCTCTGCTTTTGTAGTAACTCTCTTTCGTCCAGATCTTTTTCTATCATTACAACTTCCAGGTTCGTTTAGTCTCTTCAGAGTGTAGTGGACTCCTTTGTTAAACACCTTTAGGCGTTTTGCAATTTCTCTTTCTGTGTATCCTTCTTTCCTCAATGTACAAATCTGTACTTTTGTTTCTTTACTCAGTTGCTTCTTTCTAGCCATTTCTGCAGTAGTTTGAATGCAGTTGAGATTTATTAGGATTTTTGTATGCAAACTCTCAAAAGCCAAATAGTTGAAGTAAATAATCCAACTGTGATTTGTTTTTTTGTTTTTGCACTGAAGTTGTGACTCTTGCAAATGTTTTCAACCCTAAAACTAAGCCCTTATTATCTTTTGCTGACATATATTTAGCAATGGTCTGCTAACATCAATGTATATCTAAAGGTAAATGGAGTAAAATGGTGCATTTCCATGAAAGCAACATCTGATCATGGAGTAAATACATCCCAAAATACATAAAACTCATGCTGGATTTTTAAAAAAGCATTGTGAACAAAAACTTGAAGTTACTCCCAACTGTTCAGCCTGTAATGGCCTTGCTTCCAAACTTTTGGCCTGTAGTGTATATCTATATATATATATATATATCTATCTATATATATATATATATGATGTCAGTAGGGATACCTATGGGGTCAACTGATTGACCACAATAAAGGGAGTGGGGCCAAAACAACAAGCTCTTCCCTGTCTCAAACTAAATTTTTATACAGAGGCTGAAATCCTGGTATTTTAATACACCACTGTGAGAAATTTGAGGTTTTTTTTTTCTAATCTGAAAATAAAGAGGAAGAATGAGGAAATACTATTTGGTTTAGTTGGAAACAAACAAACACCAGACTAACAGGCTTTACATGTTAGAGTTGCTTTGGTTAACGATAAACGGAAAGGAAAGACTCTAACCTTAATCACAAGTGACCTGGAATTTCATAACTTATTTACTGTCATTACTGAAATATTTAATGTAGTCTCATATGTTGTCTGTGAAACAAAAAGGAAGGCGAGGCAAGTAACTGAAATAGAATACCAGAGCTACAGTGCATCCGGAAGAGAAAGTAAAAATTCTAACCTGAATCCCAGGTGACCGGTAATTACCTTTGTGGTTTTTGGTTACACCCATATTTGCATTAACTTATCTATGCAGCCAAGCAAACTTCACCCAGCTCTGCTATGTTCCTTCTTTTGTTTCATCGAATGATGAGTTTGTTTATTGTTTCACTGACACAAGAATACTTGTTTAAATGTTTGGACTCACTCCGTCAGTTCACTTTCATTTTCCACAGTTTCTCACAGAGTGGTGAACCTCTTCCCACCTTTGCTTGAAATGCTCTTAATGCACACTTAGTGAAATTGGTTGACATTTTGATGGAAATATTTCAGATTCATTCTTTTGTTTTGTGTTTGCAGAAAAACAGCCACACGGGAGGAATGGAGCATCACCTGTCAGTCTGACTCTCCTCTCTGCTTGCCAAGTGTTGTGTCCACTTAAATCATTCAAAGGTAGAAAACATTTGGGTGGGTGTGGCAGATTTCGTGAGGTGTCATACTGATGAGGAGTGTCTGTATTAAAGCTGAGAGCTCTCTCGTTATTGCTGAGCTTCATCTGGATGGAGACCAGACAGCCAAGGTAAGGTGTTAAACTCAGATAACTAATTTCATCTCTGTTTCATTGGAGGGATTTTGTGGGAGAAGTCTAACACCAGAGCAAACACTTTTTGGTAGTTTGAACCTCTTATGAGTCTTATGAGTTTAACATGACTGTGTTACCATTGAAAGCCAAACTGTTTAAGACATCGCCCAGGTTAACAAGTCTGCGTCAAATGTCGAGGAACCAGGGCATTGTGATGAGAAAGGGGCTACTGGAGCAAAACAGAGAAGGCAATGGACACAAGATCAGAATAAGACTCAGGACTTCCAGGTTTTCTCACACCTGGAAGTCCTGACCAAGTTCCATGTTGTTGTTACATTGTCTAGATTTGATTTGGTCTTTTTAGGTTTCACACTGTCATTATTGCAGTTATCGTTGTAAAACTCTTGAAAAGATAAGCTGTCAATACTGAGGTACAACTTTATCTACAATACTATAAAATTTCCCCTTCTTGAGCTTCTTGAGCAATGTTGAATCTCCATTCAACATTGAAATGGACACTTCAACCTGCATTATTACCTGTGTTTGGTACGAAGGTCTGAACCTTTCAAAATAATGCTTTCACACTGGACATGAACCAGATGGGGGTTCACTTTAGTCAGGACAGAGACCACCACTTTTGGTTGGAACAAGGTGTGGCTGTTTGATGTGGACCAAGGTCAAAGGGCGTTTTCACACCTATCATTTTGGTTCGATCCAAACAGAAATGTCAGGAAGTGCGGCCCAAATGATGAAGTTGTGAAAGCCCCCTAAGACAGCCTGAGCTTATTTAAGGTTAGATCCTCCTCACTGATCACAGTACTCCACATCCTCTGTGTTGTTGTGTTTACTTGAAGGTCTAAGAAGAAGAGGATGGCATCGGTTCAAGGCAGACAAGACTTCCTGGAGTTAGAGGGATACTTGATGGGTGTAGCCTGTCTGGCTGCCAAGAGGAGCAGGGACCCGAGCACACAGGTCTGTGTGTGTGTGTGTGTGTGTGTGTGTGTGTGTGTGTGTGTGAGCGCACATGCACGTGTTTATTCAGAAAAATCTCACCTTGCTTTGTTTCAATACTCCACTGTATGACTAATTTACAGTTAATGTCTAAACATTCAGTTTCATCAGTGTACAGTAAATCATATCATCTGGCTTTTTCCCGCTCTTGCAGTCAGGAACCACGTAGTCTTCATGTTAATGGCGTTTCTGATCGACCACAATTGAGGGAGCGGGGCCAAAACAACAGGCTCTTCCCTGACTAAAATAATTTTTTTCAGACAGGGGCTGAAATCAGGATAGTTTAATACGCCACTGTGAGAAATTTGAGGCTTTTTCTGATTTGAAAATCACACAGCACTATTAAAGAGAAAGAATGAGGAAATACAATGGGTTTAGTTGGGAAAAAAAAAAGCACCACCAGACTAACAGGCTGTACATGTCAGAGATGCTTCGGTTAACAATAACCTTAATCTCTAAGCTTAATCACAAGTGACCTGTAATTTCATTACTTAATTACTGTCATTACTGAAATATTTAATGTAGTCTTGTATGTTGTCTGTGAAACAAAAAGGAAGGCGAGATTTCAGCTAAATGTTGTACATTTATTTAGGATTTTCGCATGTATTTATGGGTGTGTTTGTAGGTGCAGCATGTTTCTCCTGATTGACATGACAGAAATACTCTGTGATACCTGTGTTGTGAATCAGGAGAACGAGATTCTTGGTGTTGGCTTCAACAGGATGCCGAAAGGTGGTGAGGAGCTAACCTGGAACCGCGATAAATCTGAAGAACACCCACTTGAAAACAAATACCTCTATGGTGAGCCCAAACAAACAGAAGACGAGCTGGTTGGTGGCTATGTTATGTTGGACATCTGAAATGTTTTTATTAATCAAACATCAGACAGTTTATTTGAAGAACACATGATCGTACAACAGGCTCAACCTATTATTTGATATTGTGTGGAGTATAAATGCACAAAACATGATCCAGTTTTATGGTTATTGACAGATTCTAAACCTGAGCTGCAGTGCTGGACTTTTACCCGTAGAGGGGGCCAAGGGACACACTCTCAGTCTGTCCTTTTTTCTCTCCTTCTGAGTTTTGTGTTTCCCAGAGCCAGAGACACATAATTCATCAGTATTTTAGAGCCTCCTCTTTGTCTCTGTACCTTCTTTTTAACCATAGAAACAGTAAAATAAAGAACTGAAAGAGGGAGCATTAAGCTGAAGTGATGAGTTGACTGTGCTCGCTCTCACAGTGTGCCACGCAGAACTGAACGCCATCATGGACAGCAACGGAGCTGACATTAGAGGAAGCACCATTTATGTGACTCTGTTCCCCTGCAATGAATGTGCCAAGCTCATCATCCAGGCGGGTGTGTTCATGCAAACACACACACACACACACACACACACACACACACACACACACACACACACACACACACACACACACACACACACACACAAAGAGAGAGAAGACATGCTTTTTGATGCTTCACTCATCTGATGAAGTGATTATGTTTCAAATGTTAGATTCTGAACCTTTTTTATCCTCTTCTTTTACTTTTTGAATGTTTTTAAACTTATCCGATTAACTTTGTTGATTTTTATGTTTTTTATGTGGCTGCATGGTTGTATTGGAGGTGCTGTAGAAATCAAGTGAAACTGAGTTAAATATCTGTAGAATTTACCTGATGAACTTCTATTCCCTCGCTCCTTTTTTTCCATGCTTTGCATAAAACTCGTGGTCCCCTTGTTTCCTTACCTTTCCCCCTTTGTCCTTTTCCCAGGTATTTCACGAGTGGTCTACCTCTCTAATAAGTATGAAAACACTCATGAGACACAGGCCTCAGAAAGAATGCTGAATCTGGCTGGTGTACAGATGGAGTAAGTCACTGATCTTCCACGACTATCAAAGAGTTGCTTTTAGCTTTAACTCTTCTTAGCTCTCACTGTCCATAAGTGACTCTTCTGACTTTATGTTGTTTTGTCTCTCTCTGGTCTTATAGCCAGTTCAAGCCTGGGCAGTGCAGAGAGGTGGTCATTGATTTGACAGGGGAAGCTGTTTAAGGAGGTGAGGAAAAGGAGGAAGACTGATCAGACTAAAAAAAGACTGGCGGTGAGAAAAATCAAGATGTTTTCATTTGAGGCTTTGAGTCTGTCTTACTGTCTTGCTTTTTTTCTTTGAAACTCTCTCAAGACATGTTCATTTAATCTGACCTGTCAAAATAAGGGTGAAGGTTTCAGTAAATATGTTTATTTTGGAGACAGGTAAATACTTAGTGGTTTGAGTGTTTTGCCAGGTGAGAGACGTGTGAAGGTGTTTTTTATTCACCCATCCCTGTTTTAAACTAATTATTCACTAAAAATGACTGGTCTGTCTTATGTTTGGCTTTAAGCTGATGAACTTGATCAAAATTCCTCCTAAAACATGTCCTTTTATGCAGATGTTTGTATCCAAGACCATTGTTGTGTGTGTGTGTGTGTGTGTGTGTGTGTGTGTGTGTGTGTGTGTGTGTGTGTGTGTGTGTGTGTGAGTGAGTGTGTGTGTGTGTAACCTTCTTTTTTACTCTCTGCATTTTAGCTTGAATAACTGCTTTATAACTATAGTATAAAGGTGCAGCTGTCTTCAGCTGATGAGCTGTGTGATTGTAATGTCTTTTTTTTTCTTTTTACAGTTCCTGTTGGCTGATCTCTTCTTTTCATCAAAAAAAAAAAAAAAAAAAAAAAATCATCCCTTTAAGAGTTCCTGCTTACAAGCTGCAAACTAAACATCCTCAAGCAAACAGACTGCTATACACAAAGTGACTGTTTATCATCAGTTCATAATGTGTCGATGTGGACTGCATGTAATTTATGTGCAACTCATTCATTCATGTCAACCAACATGAATATATGATTCATTTCTTCATTCATCCATGTCAGCCGTCAATAAACTCTGAGGACACCTGTGCCTGGTCACTGTCATTATTATTTACATGACAAATAAAACACATGCACACATTACTGCTCTTTTATACTTTATAGAGGTTTATTCAGAGGAGAACCAACATTTAACAAGGTGTTATAACAATCTAAGCCCTTGAAGAAAATTTACAAAAAACTTTCAAAAGTAGTGTCTGACGTCCTATCTGTGTTTCAGCAGCAGGTGAAAGAAAAACCTGTCGGCCCAGTAATTATTCTGGATTAACCTGTAGATGTCAATGTTAATCATAAGGATCTGATTCCTCTTCTGAACTCTGTTGATCAAACTTCCAAACTCCTAACTATCCAAAAACAAGAGCTTTGAAATAAATATATCTCTATGAAACATTTTCTATATAAAGAGCAGAACCTCAAATCACTAAAACTTGTATTAAGGGAAGAATATTGCAGAATCTTATTTCAGTTTTTCAGTATTGAACTGTTGTCCATAAAACTCCTGTTGACTGATTGGATCAGAATTAAATCAGAATATGAATAAAATTCCTAAAAAAGAGAAGAGTGAAACTAACAGATATCACACTTCAATTAAAGTCAAGATTATGGTCACATTTATTTCACAAAATATAAGTTTGTATGAATTTTATGTAAGTTTTGATGCTGTATCATAATTGGACTTTCTCTGCTGTCATTTTGATTTTCTTTATTCCATTTTTTTGTCCAATAATTTTGACTTTCTGTCTAATGTAAGCATGATGTTTCAAGACTTTGACATTTTATATAATTGCAGTGATTTATTTTTATTTTTACTTTTTTTTAAATTTACCATTTAAAAATGTATGTCCAATTCAATGTCTGATTTTAACTTTATTCTAAAACAAATAGATTAGATTTGATAAGAACTTTATTGATCCTTTTGGGGAGGTTCCCTGAGGAAAATGAAAACCTTGTTTAAAGACCCACTCCAATGAAGATCATGTTTTTCTTGTTGTCTACATGTTCATATGGCATTTTTCTGATGCTACAGGACATATCACGAGTAAACTAAGTGCAAAATTGCATTTCTGAGTATTTCTGCATTCAAATTGCTGTGAACCTCTGGCAGACCCAAATGACAGGTTCAGACACAGTGAGATTTCCTATGTAGCAAATCCAAGCTCTGCCCCCAGTGCTTCGCTCTACAGGCCAGACTTTGAAAAATAGAGAGGATGATCGCAGAACGAGCGTGTGCGTTAGCAGATTGCAATACTTCTGAGAAAGCTAATTATGATATTAACTCTTATCATGTCCCCAAAGACATTAGTGTGTCAGAGCTGAATAGCTCCTATGTTACCTTCTACTTCTACTACACCAGCAATTTTAGGCTGCAAGCTAGCATGAAGAGGCGTGTGCAGAGCAGCGCTGTCTCCTGCCACGACTCAGAGGTGAATTACTAACGAGCTTCTGAAGCTCTGCAGTAGAAAAGTCCTTGAAAATGACACAGGTAATATGATTTTGGCAAAAAACTCATAATCACAATTTAAAGACCACTGAGAACACTTTAGGTAGTAAAGAAAAAATGATCAGAGTGGGACTTTAAGGAGTAATGCTCACTGGCACAGGGGTTAGTTTGATCAAGCTGCTACACCCCCTAAAATCTACAACTTCAAAAAGTTAATGTTTTTCTCACTGATAAAAATCTGCACATATGACTTTTTTCCTTGAGATTTATGCCTGATCACTCTGAAAGGCAATGCTCCTTGAAAAGTAGCGTAGCTCCTGAAAACTGTGGCATGTTAATATCATCACTGCTTGATTAACTATGGTTCAGCCCCTGATCATCCCAGTGCCTTTCTTCTTTAGGATGGAGGTGTTGAAGTGAGCTGTCTGCTGAAGATTGAATGTACAGTTTGAATCAAGGTGCCATAAACACCTGTTTGATGAATTTTTAGCCGGACATTTGTCACCAAAACCTCAAACTTCATGAACAACGTCCTCATTGGCTGACTTGCCCTTGGTAATGTTTGAAATGCCTCCTGTTTTATTTAGTACTCAGGTGTTGGAACAGAATGTAGACAACAACAGTTGAAGTTCTAACCTTTTACAACATGAGCATGCAACATCAGAGCAAAACTACAATAACAGAGGAAGAAGAATTGCTTAAGGAGTGGTATGAGGGGTTTCCCATGCATGAATATAAAACATTTCTCATGTTTTCAAAATAACCACTGTAGTTTGTTAGGTTTTATGGACAACAACCAACACATACAGGTCTTCTCTGTAATTTCCTCTGACACCCAGCAGGAAACACTTATCAGGTAATCACTTATCTATGAGCCAAGATGAACCAGATTCATCTTCAAATCTCACATTTCTACACAACTTAAACACTACAAATGCTGTTGTTGCTGCTAGCAATAAGGCACCAGACTCCAAACGACATCAGAGTTCATGTCTTTATTAGTGACATGTGATGAGGTTAAACTTGTATGTGTCAGTAGAGGAAGAGAAATCCTCTGATCCGACACGTCCTCCATCTTTCTGACTCTGATTCAGCTTCAGCAGGTGTCAATTCTCCTCATGCAGATGGAGTGCCTTAAAGTACCACAGTCACCATTGCCCCAGCCGTTCTCTAAAACAAAATATTCAGTCATTGATTTAAAAACAACAACAACAAAAAAAAAAGTAAAAAATGAAAAAACAGACTTATATTTATATTTACAGTTTATGTTCAGACAGAAAGTAGAAAGTCGTCTTCACGTGGTCAGATGACATAAGGTCTGTACAAAGAGCTGCACATACCCAAATATGTAGCATGTCTCTAATCCTAACTTCTGCATAGTCAAAAACTTAAAATGTATGCTTTAAAAAAATACTTGCATTGTATATAATCAAACCAAACTTCATTTAAAAGTGAAGATTTTAAGATTTTCCTGATATTATCTTGCAGACAGACCTGGCAAAACCTGAATTTAGGCTCTCAGCATCACCAAAGTGATTTTAAGTGCAGGTCGGAGACCCCAGTGAATCATTGAGAAAGAAAATTATTGTGGACGTTTTTGATCATTGAAATGAACTAATGCTCTACAGTAACTGTATGATGGTCTTTGTCTCCACATGCTGTGATTAATGTGATCAAGACATTAGACCGCTATGCTCACTGTGGTGTCACAGCACAATTTTTGCGTTGTGACTCTAGACTCTAGCCTAAAGTTTAGTTCTTATTTATTTATCTATTTATTTTTCTGTTAATATTAAAACCGTCGAGGAAATCTAAATCAATGCAAAGTTGGAAAAGGGATGCTTATTGGCAGCTTAACTGAAAACAGCCATTTTTCCTTCCAAATTTGAAAATATAATAATAATAATAATAATAATAATAATAATAATAATAATAATAATAATAATAATAATAATAATAATAATAATCACAATTATACTTATTTCAATTGTCTATTAACCCTCCTGAAGCTCCTTTATGTAACATCTATGTTAACTCTCGATAAATGTAGTTATGATGAAAGATAGAGATGTTGGGACTCACCCATGGCCTGAACAAAGAGACAGGGGTTCATGTCAGGCCTGAGCTGAGGGGACCAGTTGTGGTAGCTGAAGCGGCTCTGGTCCACCCACCTAAAGTTCTGCTCACATCAACACACACAGAGTTTAACACACATTATGACAAAGTTTAACCTTCATGTATAGCTTTAGCAAAATGTTATGTCTGTGTTTCTACTGAAGCTGCAGCTAGATGAAGTCGAGGGGAGTCATTCTGGTCTGGATAATATATCTATCTTTGTTATTTCTATATTCCTCTATGTGCACGTGCCTGCAGGAAGAAGTATCCTCCGGTCCAGGCTGCGACGCTTGATGCTTTTTTGGTGAGCGACTGGAGGAAAGTGTAATCAAACGCATCATGGCCAGAGGCCAATGAGGCTCCCAGTCTGTCACAGTGGGCCTGAAGGAGACATCAACACATTTTAAAATATTATTTATGAATGACAGTTTCCTGCTAAGAGAGCATCGATGATGTAAAGTTACCTCAGCATTGCTCCAGGACTGTGGAGAGGTTACATATAAATAACAGCTGTGCTTGTATCTGACCCACCCAGAGGGACAAGTGAAGAACCGAACTGCAGAAGACAGAAAAAACAAACAACAACAAACAAAAAAAAAAAACGCAGGTGGTCACTATGACTGAAAGAACAGAGTCAGTGTAATGCATGGACAGGCTGAACATTTAAAGACAGGAGACCTCCAGCAGGTGCAGCCATCTCTGCAGCAGCATCCTCCTCTGAAAGGATAGAAAAAGTCACTATGAGATCAGATAACTGGCTCAGGATGTTGAGAGCTATGTTTTTTGCTTCTCACCTTCAGGGGCAGGAACGTCATCTTTTAACACTGAGAAAGAAACAGAAAGCATGAGCTGTGAGAGGGAGGAGCTGCAGCCTGCACAACTACACTAACCACACCATGGAGAGTCAGAGTCAAACAGGTGGTTTCTGAGTGAGAGCCAGTGGGGGAGCCAAAAGATGGCCCACTATTAAATTCTAAACCATGACTGGCTCTCAGTCCTTTCACAGGAGACTTATATTGAAGTCAGCTCTTAGGGTCGTGTACAACAAGCTGTTAGAAGCTTCTTTGCATTAAAATGTTGGACATTTCGTGAATTCGAACAAATACATTTCTTTTTGGGTCCCCAAATAATCATTTTCAACAGATTCAAATGTTGGCACTTTGTTAGGAAACCATTAAAGTTTGTTTTTGAGACAGTTGCTTTTGATATCCCTCAAAAAGATCTCTGATTTTATTCAGATTGAAAGATTTTCAAACTTTCCTTTTGTCTTTATAGCATTCACTTTTTTATTGACCTGTGCACAGATTTAGGTGATTTTTTCTCCCACAGCCTCCATAACAATACACTCTCTGGGTCTCTTCTCAGCTCAGACCAAACAATCCTTTAAGGTTTGGTTTTGCAGCTGAGCTGTTTGGGGAATATCTAAACTCTCAGTCAAAGAAACAAAGGTTGAACAAACTAGCGACACACACATGCACACAAAGAGCTCTATCCAGACTTCAACTTTTGTACTTCATGCTCTCCGAATATCCTCAGTCTGTTGTGTTGCTCTAAATAGCCAAAGGATAGCAGCAATAAGTCCAGATCATTACTGCCAAAGCTCCAAGCCAAAATGTGGAAAATCAATGAACCCAAGAAAACAGTAAAACAAACTGACCTGCTGCAGCTGAGAGAGTGAGGAGGGAAAGGAGGAGGAGAGCCTTCATGATGCAGAGGAGGGGGATGATGAAGAGACTGGAGACCTGCTGGAAATCAGAAAATGTGCTACCTCCTGACCTCCTGTGGCAAAGGGATGGGGGGGACTTACCTGTCAGGTGAATATCAGCTGATGCTCTCAGGTGAGTGATGAAGACTAGACCGTCCTGCTTTTTATACACTCATACCTGGACAAATATGGTCATGTTCAGCTGGAGGACAGAGTGTCAAACTAAATGTGACTTAAGGTCCACATAAGGCTGATAAGAAAACAGTGAGAGACTGATTTATAGCTGGTATGGAAATATTATCTGAATTAATGTTAATAATTTCCCTACAGACACATTTAATTAATCAGTTATTGAAAATCAACACAATGAGCCAGCTCCTTCCGGTAAATTACTTTATGATTCGTAGTCTGCAGTCATAACAGCTCAATAAATGTTTGTGACTTGTTCCAAACGCCACCATCCCTCAGAGATTTATCATCAACGTGTTCCTGAATTTGTTCTTCACCTGTTAACCTTAACTGTTGCATCATCTCTGTCAACGTTCCCTTCCTGTTGTAATTCATTATTTATGGTTTAAATGTTAGAGATATGACAGTTTACATTAATAAACACAGAGCAAAGTTTTATAGAGTTTCTTGCAGATGTGCAGCGCCCGCCCCTTAGAATTTGGCAGTGGTGATATTTTTTTTTTTTGTCTGTGTGCAAGATTTTCAAGGCATGATTGTAGAGGCTCTCCAAGGATTAGGTAACTAACCAGTTTGCCTGGAACCAGACCATTAAACCACCAGACAGACTTGAGAGTATCTCAGGAGTTAAACACAGACAGACACGACTGAATGTTAAATCATTTCTCATCTTAAAATGACAAAGATTAGACTGAATTGTTGGGAAACCTTTCAAAATTTAACCGAGAATTTAAAATGATCCCCAGATCTCTCACCGCTGTTACCTGATCAATAAATTCACCTTTACTTAAACACACTCTCTCTCTCTCTCTTGCATTCAGCAGGGAAATTATTATATACATATATACAGTATGTAAATGATCTAAACGACTCTGTTTATTATTCAGTCGTTTTTATTGATTTTGACAGCTTTAAATGTACCATCACATCATTGACCCATCGACTACATAGAGGTGGCAGGTTGCACTTCCAGTTCAACAAGATGAGGCATTTTGCAATTAAGGATGGAAAAGCCAGAGTGTGGGTTTGAGCTCTCGAAAGACCCAGATGTGTCTGAACCGCACCACATATTGCCAACTGTGGCTCCAACTCAATGGTCTTATTACACATGTAGGAGAAAGTCCCATAGAGCCTGCTCCAAAATTGTCTTATCTTGGGACATGCCCAGAAAGAATGGAGAGGCATCGCTGTGTGATGATTACACCGCTGGCAGGATTGGTCAAGTTCTGGAAAGAGTTGTGCAAGTGTGGACTTTGACATGTGAAGCCTGTGTACTTTGAAGTGAATAACCTTATGTCTGACACGCATAGAGGTGGAGTATACTGCCTCCACAGCCATTCTCAAGGTTTCATCCAAAATCTTCTTCCCATTTTAATTTCAGATGGTCTAGGGGGGTGAGGCTGCCAGAAGCCCCGGAGTAAAGCTGAACCAAATCGTTCCACTGGTAAAGACAGAGAAGGAGTCTTTTGATCTGAGGGGAAAGTCACATGACCTGAAAGTTGGCAGCTTATGTAGAATATTATAAAGGATGTATGTAATTTTATTTTTAAAAAAAGTTTAAATGTATCCCACTGAAAGTCTAGAGAGTTTGGTCTTGAGATGTTAAAACACCCTGCGGTGTTTCTGACGGAGGAATCACAGTGAGCAGGTGCAGGTGAAGAGGGGCATATGCTTGAAAAAGAAGTCATCTTGGTCAACAGCTGTTTGGAATAACAACTTGTGATATCACATGTATTTGATAAAAATGCATAAAATAGATAAATAAAAACATATAAAAGGAATGGTATATGAACACGTTTATCTGGCTGCTTGTTCAGAAATGTGTTTGGGTCTTTGCTTGTTGATTTTGTGGGGAACATTTATATACATAAATGCTGTGGTTGTTACTTTTATGGGCTTTATGTTCAGTCTACACATTGGTTGGTTGGTTTATCGTTAATCCCTTTCAATGTGTATTTATTTCTATTTTCTTTCTCAGATCTACAGTGCTTTTCAGCTCCAAAGATTTATTATGAATCCAAAAACCATTATTAGAGTTTGTGTCGCCTCAGGTTCCTGACTGATTGAACATTTAAACTTTCCAACTGTTTTCATTCAGATCTGCAACTTTTCCTCAACAGAAAGCAGCTTTTACCTAAAATCAAAGTTTCCCTTTGCATGACTCAATATTTTATGGCTTGATAACTGTGCAGTGAAAATCTGGTATTGTGGCAGCTCTACCTGGAGAAACAGGACGCTGATCTTTACTTGGAAGAAAAGTTTTCTGTCTGAACTAAGTATATGGAGAACAATTACCAGCAGTAATAAGCTGTGTTCAGAGTTAGCTCTGTAGACTGTATATTACGTTTATTTTAATCATTAATATTCCAGTTTTCTTGAAAAAACAGAGATTGTTGGGTTCCACTAAACAATCGGAGTTTGAATATTTCGTGATATTTTAAAGGGGCGTAATGTTAGAAATAACTGTAGAAACCCTCATTCTGGTTTGGATTTAAGTGATGCCTGGCTTGCAAACATCTGTAAAAGGCATCTTTCATCATAAAGTCTAAGTCCTGAGCAAACTGATGACAAAAACTATTTCTAAATGTAAAAGTACATTTTATGGGAGGGGACTCTAACTGTGACCTGGACCCAGTGAAGGAAAGATCTACCCAAACTGACTCAACTCAACTACAAACCTAAAAAAGAGTGATTGATGTATGCAGGACACAAATTCAAAGAGAATACGCTGTACTTATTTCCTGGCTTCAGTATAACTCAGTGATTTTATTTTAGTCTGAAAATGCTGCACAGTAGTGTTAAAATTCATAGAACAGTCTATGTGTCAGAGGTGAAGTGTTGCTGCTAGCAGAAAGGCACCAGACTCCAAAAGACATCAGGGTTAATTTCTTTATTCATTTGCTGTGATTTGATCCATGACACATATCTCAGTGAATCAAAGAGGAATCAGCCCTGGGCTTGAGGCCTCTGAACCAACAGAGAAGAATTTCATAAGTACAGCATGATGTTGTCATTTGAACGTTTCTTTTTCAAATCAAATGGGGCTGTGTTGATCCATCATCCAACATCTGATCCATCATGTTCTCCATCACTCTGTCAGGACTCTGATTCAGTATCAGCAGCCCGTTTTCATCATGCATATAAACCTCTTTCTGGAATCGCAGTGATCGCTGAACCATTGAGCTGCAAGAGCAAAGATTCAGTCATTATCATGAAAAAGATGTGACATTTTCTGTTAAGGTTTGTTCAGACTGAAAGTAGAGAGTTCTCCATGGGCTTGGATTTCAGATCAGGTCAATTCTGAGACCTGAATACATGCAAACTCCTGACAGGTCTTTCAATCTTTGCAAGAATCTAAAGTTTTGGAGCCAAAGGACTGAGTGTGTAGGTAGAGCATGAAAAGTGCTCAACTTTCTGAAGTGGGATCAGAAGTACAAATCAAACCTAACTTCACTCTTAGAGGGATCCTTTGAAGAGTTTATATTCAGACTTTTTACAAAGTAGCACCTTAATGGAGTCATTTCAGCATCCTGTCAGCCAGTTTCTTGTCCTCTCTTCCTGACAGCTGTTATTTTAGGCTGATAGTGCAGTGGTAAGATGGCTTTTAGCTGACTGTAGTCTGACTAAAGCTTACTGTTTTGTGATCAGAGGCGTCTGATAGACTGCAGCTGTGTTTCATCCACATGAATTGAAACAACATTTATTTGCTACCTTTAAAGACATGTTTGCAGTGATTCCAGATGTTTTATGAGCACAGCTCAAGTTCAGGTGAAGGTGTTGTGACTCACCGGCACCGTGAAGGGAGATGCACTGTCTGTAGGTATCATATGGTGGGTTAATGTCAAAGAGACTATTGTCCAGCCACCTCCATCTCTGCAAACATGGACACAGAGAGTTTGACATGTCTCAAAGTTTGACTGTCATGCAGAAAAAACAGGAAGTTCAATCAGCTGATACAAACAGTTTGATTCATGCACGGATCTTTTCATGATGTTAGTGTGTTTCTCTAATAACCTTGAAATAAAATCCTCCCAGCCAGGCTTCGCCACCCCCTTGTCCGTTGATGTATGACTGCATGAAGCTGTAATCCCCGAAATTATCAACAGGAGCCAAGACAGCTCCATAATCGGAGCACTGTCTCTACAGGGACACAAACAGATCTATGCACTTCAATACTTTTTTGATTCAACTTTACTGACAACTGAGGAAAGATGATGTAAAATTACCTCAGCATTTGTCCAGGACGTCGGAGTCGTCATCAATTTGTAACAGTTTGTCTTGTAAGGCGTCCAATCTCTAGGACAGGTAAAGAAACGCAATGCTAGGGGAAGAGAGAAACAAGATCTTCAATGACAGAAATAAACAAGATCAACATCGGCAGAGAAACAAGATCATCTCTGACAAAGAGAATCAAGATCATCAGTCAATACTTCTGATCATGTTCATGTGAAACTCATTTGAGTTTGTTTATTGAAATCATTTCAGTTCTTGAAATCACAGAGAAATCAAACTGATAGACTGTTAGAGACTGTAAGACTCACCTGGAGCATCTTCAGGCAGATTAGTCTGCGCAAGCTCCACCTCTCCTCCTTCTGCTAAAAGGACGTAAAGAGAGGAGTGAAACTGGAGTGTGTGTGTGTGTGTGTGTGTGTGTGTGTGTGTGTGTGTGTGTGTGTGTGTGTGTGTGTGTGTGCGTGTGTGTTCATGTGCGTGTGTGTTCATGTGCGTGTGTGGGCTTTGATGCCCTCAGTACTGACCTGGAGGCTGCATGTGCTCTTCAGCTGGAGCTGCAGAGAGATAAACACTGTTATAGACTCTGTGTGTGTGTGTGTGTGTGTGTGTGTGTGTGTGTGTGTGTGTGTGTGTGTGTGTGTGTGTGTGTGTGTGTGTGTGTGCGTATGTGATCATGTGCGTGTGTGGGCTTTGATGCCCTCAGTACTGACCTGGAGGCTGCATGTGCTCTTCAGCTGGAGCTGCAGAGAGATGAACACTGTTAGACTCTCTCTCTCTCTCTCTCTCTCTCTCTCTGTATGTGTGTGTGTGTGTGTGTGTGTGTGTGTGTGTGTGTGTGTGTGTGTGTGTGTGTGTGTGTGTGTGTGTGTGTGTGTGTGTGTGTGTGTGTGTGTGTGTGTGTGTGTGTGTGTGTGTCTGACCTGCAGTAGCCGCAGCAGCACAGAGCAGGACGCAAAGGATCAAGGCCGTCGTCATGGTGATGATCAGCTGGTTCTCTGTAAAATTTCTGGAGGTTAGCAGGAATCTCACCTGTCAGGTAACTCTGAGCAAACAGACGCACTGATGTTCTTTTTATACACAACTGGAGTTCAGGTGTTCAGGAGGGGGTGGAGCTTTTGGTTGTTAATGACTCATCTGATTTTGACTTTTTCCCTCAGACTTTTCCTGTTAGTATATCAGCATTTATTTCAGACTGATCTGCAGTGTGTGTTTGTGATTCCAATGTTAGGGTTTCAGTTTTTCATGAGTGAACCAAAAATGATGACAGTAATTATCCTAGGACCCTTTCAGACCAACTCTGCTTTGGACCTGTGTGTGTGTGACTGTATATGAGGAGTAAAAGATGCTAATACACATTTCACATCAGTTATATTATTTCATGTTCTGGACTGTTTTTTAAATACTTGATTCTAAATTGGTCAAAAACTCTGAACAAACAATGATAGACTTTGAAAAACAGAAGTCCACTTGATCACCCACTACATGTAAAATCAGTCTGCAGAAAAGAGCCTGCCATATTTGCCCTCCTCTTGTGACATGTGGCAAAAATGTTTTGTTTTGTTTTTCTGTCTGACTTTAAAGGGAAAAATCCTACAAACATATACCAGAATTAGAACTTCATTTAATTTAATATACTTAAATCACTTTGTTGATGTAATGTCTCAGTTTTTAGCTGTGTTAAATGTCGTACTGTGTCCGACTTTTAAGGGTGAAATGGAGAAACATCCTGTCCTGCAATCTGTGCACAGGCAGCAGAGCTCCCAAGAGCATCTCTAAGAATCAGAGCAACCAATGTTAATGCTGTGCACAGGAATCATTTTTCAATCAATCAAATCATCAAAATATTCAGATCAATTGCAATATTCTAAAATCAATCAAATTATTTGGATATCAATAAAGTCAACTTCAGTTCAATCAATAAATTTCATTTAAATCAACACTTTTCAAATCAGTAAAATCCTTCTGAGAACTCTTTAAACATTTTTTAATCAGTCCTTGTGCTGGACTAACAGAGGAGAGGAAGAAGGACACTGAACTCTTTGGACCTCAGGCTCTTGAAGGAGACTGAGGGACATGATGAAAACCCACTCTGACCTTGTCCTCACTGACCCTGGTTGAACTTGGTGTCACCACTGTACTATGGACTTTACATAAGTGTTATCCTCCTCTTCGTTTACCATTGTATTCTAATTAATGACTTATTAACTGTGATATCTTGAACCTCTTACATCTATTGTCATGGCCAAAGAGCCGTAAGGGTTATGTCATGTACTTTTCATCAGTTATTGTGACAGTATGAGAGCTATCATTATTAAGATGTTTACATAATGACACGTCAGCATTTCTCTGAGTGTGTTAGACCTCCTGCTGCTGCTGCTGCATTGACCTTCATAACCCATTGTGAGCCCTCTCTCCGAAGAGAAATTCATGATGTTTGTTTATTTGTGTCATTTTATTTAACCAGAAAAGCTTTGCCTAGATTAAAAATCTATTTTCCAAAAGTGTCCTGACCAGGACAGCAGCGACAGCACATTCTAATAAAGTAACAGACAGACAAACACACCGTTTAAAATTTGGTGACATCTGGGCAAATTTAAAGCACCCTCGGGAATGGTGCTGGCCTCTCTGGCCTCCCAAAGCATCTGCAGCCTGATGCATCTTATTCCAAAACCTTTAATCTGCCTTTAATAACATTCAGGGAGGCCAGCTCCTTCAGATCCACATTTTGCTGCAGTAAATTTCAGGAGTTGCAGGAGCAGAGGACCCAAAAACTCCTTTTACCCATTTCAAGACGCACTCTGGGGACAAACAGCAAAACTAGGTCCTGTGTGTCAAAGGGAAAGACTGTAGCCTCTAACATTTTTCTAAAGGATTATGTCACACAAATAAGAGGGTGAGCAAGTTAAGAATTGGCTTGAAAATGAAGACATGCCAGAGATTGAAGTCTGTGAATTGATGCATGCATATACAAACATCACCATAATCTATCAGGAGCATAAACGAAGCCACAACAAGCCTTTACTTTGACTTAGTCTTTACAGTGATTCACCACAACTTCACAGAATCACAGCGAAACACCTAAAGAAAAAAAAAAAAAAAGGAAAGAGCAGTCTGAATGACATTGTCAAAGTCTGCTCCAAGATCAGGACAGTCTCTCGAAGCTCTTTGGAAGTACCAGAGAAAAAAAAAAATAGAAGAAAGGGGTGCTCCCTGTGGACAGTGCTCATTGCAGATTTTGTCATTCTTGTTTTTTGACAATAGATATTTTGCCATGGATAACACTGAAAATAACAGTATTCTAATAAAGCTGGCTCAAAAAACCTTTACAGCTCAAAGATTTCTTCCCTAAGAGTTACTTAAGGGTGTGTTCACATTTCTAAAGAAAGCAGATATGAAGCTCGGCATGAGCACCAGAAAGCTTTCATACAGAGGGTTTTTGAAATGGAGTTTGGTGCAGTGCTTCTTAAAACAGAGAGGAAAATAAAATAAATGTCTGTTTTATAGTCAGACTCTGGTTGTGTTACATCATCTGCTCAGGAGGTTGTCATTGTGTTGGATCTAACTGGAAAATATCGATAACAGAGACACACAGGGCTAAAGGTGACGTCTGGTCCAGGGTCAGGTCTGATGTGGAGTCAGAGTGAGTAGAGTGATGGGAAAGCAGCTGACTGAGCTCTGACTGCAGGAATAACAGATAACAGGTCATCGGAGAGAGGGGAGGGGAAATGTCAATTACTTACCATAAAAACCAGCTAGCTCCTTCCAGTAAATAATGTTTGGTTATCTATGACTTATTTTTTTCGTTGATAACAGATCAGATGCACTTAAGTATAGTTAATCATCTACAGGGTTTTATATGTATGTACACGCAATTTTCTTTCATTTTTTTTACAAGTAAGTTATACATGCAGAATAGGTCACCAACAGGTCACCAACAGCTATCAGAACAGATCATCCCATCACAGAAAAAACAATCTTACTGACCCCCTTTTAATTAGCAGTTTAAAATGTGTGAAAAGCTGATAACACTATAATGGAAGTAGAAATTATATCACACTCGTTAGAGCTTTACGTCTGACAGAAAAGGGTTATAATTCATATCACACGGAGTTTTTTCATTAGGAAAAAATCATATAAACGATATTAGAATAGAAGCAAGTGAGTAAGAGTAGTGCATCTAAAGCGAGTGTTCTTTTGCGCCTACTAACCTCACTCACGTCCGATTATATGATACGACGGGTAGACAAAATTAAGTATACAGGCTTTTGAACGTCTTTACCGCCCACTGACTCCAATTACGTCCGCACACATGCTATAACAGCTGGTGGCCACTCTCATAGTCAATAGCAACGCACTGTTGTATCTCTCTGCGGAAATGTCTGGTCGTGGTAAAGGAGGCAAAGGACTCGGAAAAGGAGGCGCTAAGCGTCACCGCAAAGTCCTCCGTGATAACATTCAGGGCATCACTAAACCCGCTATCCGCCGTCTGGCTCGCCGTGGTGGAGTAAAGCGTATCTCTGGTCTCATCTACGAGGAGACCCGTGGGGTCCTCAAAGTCTTCCTGGAGAACGTTATCCGTGATGCTGTCACGTACACCGAGCATGCCAAAAGGAAGACCGTCACCGCCATGGACGTGGTCTATGCTCTGAAGAGACAGGGCCGCACTCTGTACGGCTTTGGAGGTTAAACCTGATCCTGATCTCGCATCAATGAAACCAAAGGCTCTTTTAAGAGCCGCCCAACAACACCTGAAGAGAAATGTCTGCTCTGCAACACTAAATTGATCAAAATAATTTATGAACCCTTTAGAAACGCCATTGATTTTAATAAATATGTACGTTATATTTTCCAAATCGTGGCAAGCTCCTGAACGGGCTAAATCTAATGGTGAGTATCGTTATCAGGGTTGCATTCAGCGATGGGCATTGCAGTTCCATCGGATGTACTGTGACCTTAGAAAATGTCATGGTGCGACCATCATTTATCTCAAAATTATAACACATTTTCAACATACTTAATAGTTTTTTTTTTACAAATTGTCGGTAATATCAAGTACACAGAAACAAAGCGTTTGCACTGTATTTGAGTTTTTGTAAATAATGATCTCATATATTAGCCCTATAATGTCACAGTCGCTATATTGAATCTTGTTAACTGACTGTTTTTTTTCTTTAAATTGCATAATACTGATAAAAATGTTTTGAAACCTCCTTTCATGTAAGCATATTGTATCAGGTATCAATGTCTCAGTTACAGATATAAGATATTTTAGTTTGTATTTGCTACAATTAATGCTATTATTGGTCGCACCACATGATTAGTGGTCGCGCCAAATGACCTGAAGACCTTGTATCATTAAAAATCAATTTAATGAAACCTATGAACAATTAATTTCATGCAAATTTTATATTCAAACCAAATTTTATTAACATTTCAAACATGAACACAAACATTTTATTTCCCTTTTTGACAAAAATTTAACTCTGTGTGTGTTTGTGTATGTGGTCCAGAGGCCTGGGCTACAAAGCTGGATTAACACACCCAGGATAACTCTGCCACAACTCGCTCAACTTCACCAGAGGCCTGTACTACGAAGCTGGATTAACAAATCCAGGATAACTCTGCGACAACTCGCTCAACTTCACCGGATCTCCGCGATCCCGATCAGCTGTACTACGAAGCAGCATATCAACTCGATAACTGAATCCAATTCAGATCTGTGC